AAAAATAATTTTCAGCGACGCCACGTGGACCGTGTGACAATCAAAGTCATTTTCAGCGACACGGTCCACGTGGGGTCGTTGAAAGTGTTGTTTTAGTGACGCTGAAAATTAATAGGTTTTTGCAATGTGTTTTGTAACATGTCGCTAAAACGCACCGCAGAAAGCCTCTTTTCTTCTAATGAGTGGTTGGAAGTGATTCGATTCTAAGTAGAAGTTATTATTTGTAGATCATCTTACATTATATGCACGTGGTGCACTATGATATTGTGACACCCGAGTAGAGAGGAGAGGTACATGGATGAATCGATACCACATCCGAATAAGAGGAATCTTGAGATCATGGAAGCATGAAGAAAGACATAAAGAATTCATAGTCACTACCTATACCAACAAGGTGTACATTATTCCTTTTCGGTGGTTCAAATTGCTCTTCTAAGTAGCTCAGATAAAGACGATGGTGTAACCAGGTCATAAGAAAATGTCGAGACAAATAGTTGTCGAATCTTGGACCTAGGGCGTTATACTATGCTAGTTTGAGAGTGGAGTTTGGTGCACACTTGAAAACCCATCATTGATCATAGTTCTTGATAAAGAGTTGTTCCACATATTCATCATAATTATATACATGTATGGTTGGTTTATAACCCTTATCGTTAAGGGTAGGGTGAAAAAGAAAGAAGATTAATTAGTTAAAATGTAGGATCTGAATAAATCACTCCTCAACCCAAAAGCTTAACTGGTGGGGTTTGATAAATTTAGTTTATATACTGGATATCTAACAGTTTCCCAATCCCCTTTCTATGAAAAATTTTCGACAATTTGTCTACTCAATAGAGGTTGTTGTTTCTATATAGATCTCTCACTACAAGAATACAAATAATGTCTACTTACTTTTTCCCACTATTTTCATTCGCAAATAATTCTTTACTGTTACTAGTGCTCGCATTATTCATAAAATGATACTAATACGGCTGACAACAAATGAGAGTAGTATCAATTTGTACTAGATGTCGTCTTTTCCTCTGTAATCGGTAGATTTTTCAATTTTTCATAAGATGATTAGGCCATATCAACAAGAATAAGAAATATTTTTGTCCTATTCAATTATGAGAAGAGTTTCATGGTCTAGTAAAAAAAAGTGTACTATGATGCATCCATAAATATCTCATACATTCGTTGGTAACTATCTTGCTTTAGAGTTAAGTTTTACCTTACCTATAGAAATAACTTTTTAAAAAGCAACGGCCCATCTTCTTGTGTATAAATAAGTTAAGAATTTCTTAAAAATTTTGTCGGCCTCAATATATCCATTAACATTTTTCTTGTCATCAAAATTTAAAATTTCCATCGATATTGATATTTCTATTCTCGACTCCATCACAAGCCCATCAGCTAGGCACATACCAATCAAATCAATAGCAACATTAGGCATATTCACCCATGCTTTACCAACATCTACTTTTGCCACAATATATTTTTTGGAAAGGTTTGCCACAAATATATTGTGCTCAATAAGTACTCAATCCACCACTGAACTTTGAAAGCCTCACTTTAATACCTCCCATGCCTAGACATGTACATCAAAATTCAAAGCATGTGACAGTTGGCCCTCCAATTAATAATATTTATTCTTTTAATGTTTATACTTTCAAATATTTTATCTTTTAAGTTTTCATTTTTTGTCATTGCCACTAAATTTTCGTATTTCATTTAATATAGATCGTACGTAACATCACGTGAACTTGTATTTGGAGATATATTAGTTGAATTTATAGTACTATATCGTAATAGATACTCCTTCATCAATATTTAACTACGTAATTCGATGGTCGATTCCAAATTTTTAGAATCGACTGATCGATCGGTCGGTACTAATAAATCTTTAAAAATCGACCCACCGACCAAGGATGTATAATATATATCTATTTTTAATATTTTATTATAAAATTAATGTTATTTTAGGGTTTTAAAATTGAAAGGTTTTCGGTCGTTTCTTTTTCAGTTCCTTTGTGGATAGCCCACAGTTCACTTCCAGCTTCTTCTTTATAGTTCTTCGCCATTCGTTGTCCAGATTTTGTCCCGCTTCTTCTTCTTCTCTTCTTTCGTGCACAGAACCGCAACTCTCCTACCCCTTTCCGGCGTAGGGACCAGACTAGCATAGTTCTTACATGCAAAACGAATGGAAAGAGAAAAAAAAAAGGTAAAACCAACAAAACCGACCGACCATCGGTCGGTTCGGTCGGTTGACGTAAGATTGCTACAAAAACTAGTTGGTTTCTATTAGGTCGGTTTTCAGCAACAGTTTTGGCAAAAAATCGATCCCGTCCAACCCATGTTCGATCCCTACTGCATACTATAATAGGTAGATTAAAATATAGAATTTAAACTCGTGTAGGTATAAAGGTGGGTGATAATAGTGGTACTAGCATATAATGAAGTTAGAACAAAAGAATAAAAATAGAGAAATTTTTAATATGCATTTTCAAAAATATATTTGAAATTCAGTTTATTTAAATGGTACCCTTTTTTTTAATTTTAAAATTTTAAAATTCTCATCTCTAGTTTAAAATGCATATTTATTTTATGTCATTTAGGTGATACATGTCTCATAAAATTGGTTTTGAAACACTGCAAAATACGGATTCTCTCGTATCAATTCAGAATAAGGGGATAAAAGTTACAAAGAAAAAATCCAATCAAAAGTTCAACCAAATATATCTTTCAACAATAAAAGTTTTAAACTTTCATTGATATATTAACTTTTCCATGCAACCATAGATTCAATGAAGCGATATTTTTATCGTATCACAAAAGAATGAACAAAATATAAGAACATATTAACAAAATCATTCATATACCCATATTATGATAAAACACTTAAGTGTTAATTTAAATTATTTTTATAAATTTTTATTTTTATATTTTTTTTCAAAAATATTCATCTTGATATAAAATTGAGATCTCGACATCAACAAATAAAACCCCCGCTTTGTCCACAACCACAACACATTGAAATAGACATGAAGGAATCAAACTATTTCATCACACGGTGGCCCCATCCACAAGAGTACTCACAAATTTGTTTGAATAAATCTCATCTCATCCCCTTACAAAATCCCTAAAGCTAATCTTCTATATGCAACAATTTCTGAATTGGAACATGCCATCTCATGTAATAAAAGATTTATGAACAGTAACTAACTCGCTCAGATTTCGAACCATTGTTGTAACTTCATAAGCTTATAATTAGAGCAAAATTTTGTCACCAAAAGTGAAGCCGATGCTGCGGAGCCACCATGGTGAAGTAGAGACATGGGAGAACAGTACAATGCTGTTCATCAGTTAGACATTCTTTTGATACAGATTCAGCATCTCACAACTTGTCCGCACCACCGGCAAGAATGCATGGAGAAACCGAGAAAACACACCCGGTTTGAGGCTAATAATGGCTTCAAATCAAGCATCTGAACTTGTTTTACGAGGTTAACGGTATAGCTGCAACTTCAGTATATGCTACACCCCCCTTAGCTTTCTTTTTTGATCTACTTTTAGACTTTGTGTTAGATTTTCGCTTCTTGGAAGAAGCCTTATCTTCCAGCTCATTAGGTGTCGAGTTCTGCTCGTCGGTATGTTCACTCAAAAGCATTATATCTGCTGCGGTCTTCATACTGATGTCAACTGGGGGCTTGTCATTAGAAACTTTGGCATCAGTGTCTGGTTGAATCACTGACATTCCAGTCAGTGTGTAGTCCAACAAAAATGTGCTTCTTACAAGCCTGTCTATCCTGCTAAAATGCCTTTGGGAATATGGGATTAGACCTTCAAGTAGTTCCCCAATACCTTTGATCTGAAAAAACAATGGATATAAATATTCTGGAAACATGAGAAAATAGGTAGCTTCTACTCCCGAATAACCTTGTAGTTCATATAATTGAACTTCATTTCATTCCTTTACTTAACTCAATTCCAAATGTTAAACGCTTATTTACCAACACTTTTTTTTTTGTTATCAAATCTTATTCATAAAAACAATTTTGAAATCCTAACCCAACTTTGAAAACTAAAAACAACTAAAAGATCTACTATTTATTTTTTAGTTTTCAAAAGAGAGCCACTAAAAGGAAAATCATTTGCCTAAAATAAATAAGTCGGATAAATTGAAATACCATAGACGTTTTCAATGTTAAACTTGAAAAGAAAGAGGAAGACGCACCTCAGTGATCTCTGTTGGAGGAAGGATGCTGAAAGCTCTGAAAAGCACAAATTGTGCAACGTGGCAAAGTTTAGGCTTGGTATTCCATTCTCTAAGATATTCGAATAAAAGACGAAACTCCTCCTTTCCAAGGACACCAAGGGACTTCCCAACATGATTATCACAATCATTCTTGCTGTTGAAAGAGTAAATCTTAGTATATGCCAATGATGTGTACACACAAATCAAAATGTAAAAGAATTAGTAACCTGCAAAGTTGAGAAAATAACTCATATAGCCTATGTGGCCTACGAAGTTCAAAGGCAATTTGAATCGCTTTTGAGTAGTCAGCATCTGAAACAGCATTTTCCAGCTCCTGGCCTTTCAAAACACCTTCTTCCTGCATTTGATCATTGAGCACGTTAACTAATCTATATACTGTATTTTAAAAGAGCTAAATGTAAGAGACTTCTGATTATCTTTCAAGCTCTTAGTTTAATAGGCAAGTCCAAGACTAATCTCCTCTTAATAGTTCAACATGTATTTAATAATAAATACTCATCCAGAATCTTTTGATTCATTATTTATATATTAAATGTAAAAAATAATCCAAAAATCATTTAGGTCGGTTGGTAACTTTGTGATGCAAAAAAACATTCATTGTAGATTTAAATCCTTTTTTTTTTGAAATCCGTGTGTCCGGGCCAGCTTGCGCGCACCTTGACTAATCACGGGTCAACCGCCTGACACTAGTACATTTGGTTGACAAGGTAACTCGTAGGATATTAAATCCTAGATAGGTGGCCATCATGGTTTGAACTCATTCCCTCTAAATCCTTTACTATTTACAAAGGCCCCCTCATTGACCACTTGAGCCATCCCATGATGGTTAGATTTAAATCCTATTTGGCTTTTAGTTGGGTCCCTCAACCAAATATCGTTTCCATCTAAAGTAAAACTTGAGTATTCTCCTGAAGCAAGGAATCATAGGACTTGGCTACTTATGCTGAAAAGAACTGAAAGAATTTCTGAACTCGGTAATCAGACTTTTCCTTGATCCATAAAGCTAATATGGTCATATTTAACTCTAATAAGGATGCTGCTTACCTGTAAACTCCCAAGAAGTGTAGGTTTTTGTATCTAAACTTTTCGATATATCAATAAGAATGACTCCTTATTCATAATAGGTCATATTTGAAGTAACTGTTAACCATAATAGTTTAAGCTTATTGTGAATGTATGGGATAATCGGCCCAACATATTACCTTTCCCCCATGTCTAGATATTCACCCACTTGGGTGGGCCTTAACCTTCTTAGTCGGGCCCAACATCTCAACAGCAATCTCCTTGGGTGCGAAAAGGCTCAATTTGAAAAAATACCAAAGCCTCTTAAATCTTTAATTTCTTATAATTTAGCATCATTTTTTATAAACAAGTCTGGAGCTTTGCTGCCTTATCCTCAGGGCACCCACACCTGCCCCAATTATAAGTTAGCATCCATTAAACTGATAGAGCCCAAACTGCTGTGAAGGTTTGCACCTTTCCTCACTTGAGGAGAACTAGAAAGATATTGAAGGATAAAAGATAGAAGAACTACGGGTAAATCCCAAGAATTTGAGGTAATTGGATCCTCCCCCACTTGATTTTGATATTACTCAAGTGAGTCAAGCCAAAACCAACTAAATCAATGTCTACCTCAATCCTTTCCCTCTCACTCTATCCATAAAAAATCTCCCTAACAACTTCCCTAACTAATTACTACAATACACAATGCTAAAGAACCAAAAAGATAACGAGATATCCATCTAACCTCTTTACGCAAAGCTTCCTCTTTATCAGATGCAGTAGAATCATACCATAGATTGACAGCAGCATCACTACCACCCGTAGCAAGCATCTCTGTCTTCTTTCCCACAGCCAATGCCCACACCTGCAGGCTAAAATGTAGTCAAATAAATACATAGAATCAAAGATTACTTTACCTTATTTTCTTTAGATAAGAAATTATTCATTAAAACCCAGAATATATAAAGACAGACAGATTCAATAAACAAAAAAAGAATCATCTCCAAAATACAGAATGAGACATCTTGTTTCTAGTTTGAAAAACTTCCATCAAAAAGGCTCGAGTTAGAGAGATTTTTGCTCCAAAGAGTAATTTCACATCACTATCCACCACCCGCTAGGTGATGCATGAGGCAGGCACCGAATTTTTTACTAAAGCCTCATCAACAAAGTCTAATTTGCTTCGTAATAGTTACTTTACATGGTTACATGTTAAACACATCCCACCCATAGACAGTCAAGACACAAGCAGATCAATTACAGAACTGCATAATTTAATACTAAATCCTAATCCTTAAAGATAAAGTGTAAGGGGGGCCAAATCCAATGGCCATTGACTTCGTATTTACAATTTAGAGATAATGATGTATAGGAGGTTATTTTAGGGGGAAAATGGCATTCTGTGATACTGAAAACACTATCCAGACCATATTGGACATAAAAACAAAATGGACTGATGATGCAGCCTGAGGACCTAATTCTCCCAAAAGTATGCAAGTTCCCTTGGCTTTCAGGGGGCTGACATCTTACTTATATCCTCCCTCAATTTCTAGTGGTTCAGAAGATTTTGTTTCTTACAGAAAAAGAAATAGTACAGAACAATGAATAAGTTTAAATAATAACAAAAGAAACAGTAGCAATAATTAATAATAGCAGAGCCAATTACTCGCCTTATCTTCATGCTGATCGTAGGTAGCAATCCGCTCCTCTGTTTTTACTGTCCATATCATTACTGATCCATCAGCACCTGAAAATACAATTATTTGGTTATGCTATATCCAACATAGCATAATTGTGACAAGTGCTAAACTCAAAAGTGGTGAGAATCAATACCACAAGATACAAGTTGGGTGCCACGAGTAAGAAAAGAAGCCCTTAACACACTTGACATATGACCTTCAAATGTTTTCAAGCAGGAACCATCTGATATTGCCCATATCTTGATAGTTTTATCACCAGAAGCAGTGACCACACATTGATCAACTGGAGAAAACTCTACAGACCAAATCCCCCTTTTATGTCCTCTGAGCACAACTACAGATACCAGATCAGGAAGCCTCCAAACACAAGCAGTTCGGTCCTAACAAAAAAAATCCAAACACGCATACTAAACTAAGTCAGAATTATTCAACAGAAAGTGACAACATGATACTTTTTTTTTTTGGATATCCGTGAATGTCTGAGTCAGCTTGCGTGCACCTCGACTAATCTCACGGGACAACCGTCTAACCCTATTACATTTCTTGATTGTAGTGGAGCTTGGTATATGTTAATAGCTTATTAATCATTTGGTATATGTTAATAGCTTATTAATCATTCAAGTGTCCAAAATGAAGGCTTTTCATTGGTAACACGCAACCTCTTATTGGTGCGAAAGGAAAAAAATGGTGAACCCAAACTTGCAAAGAAAACTCCAATTGGAGTCAAATTAAATTAAAAATAAAAATACAAAAAGAAAGGACAATATAGTTACAAAAGAATGTCAATGATGTGCTCCAATTAGAAGCCAAATATTTGGCAGTCTTGTCTCTAGTGGAGTCCAAGATTAGAGAGCTTTGATCTAATATTAAAGTAGGTTAATGTTGCTTAAGATAAAGCACCAAGGAAAATTAGAATCAAATCTTAGTAGTAAATATTTAAAAATTTAAACATATAACTAGTCAATATAGATAATAGAAAAGAAAAGCAAGGGTCAAGGATTTCATTGTCAACCTGCCGGAGTGTCAGGAAGTCACTTATTTGGAAGTTAACTGAAATGTTAACTTTTTGGGACAGAAAGCCAGGAGAAGAATAAAAGAACTGAAATGAAATGCTAAATTACCAATTACTAACCTGAGAACCACTACAAACTAAACTGTCGTTTGGTGCAACTGCCAGGGAATTGATATCCTTGTCATGGGCAGCTACAACGGCCTTAGCTTTCAAACTAATGGGCTTGTTTGCATCCTCTGAAAGACCATCAAAACTCCACACCTTAAGAGTACGATCACTAAACAAGACAATGATATAAATTAATCTGTCAGCGAGTAATCTAAAAAACAATTGAACAGAAATGAAAATGTGTATATGTGTTTTATATGCACTATATGAACAACAGTGGCCAAAACATTGATGGCAAAACTAAAGAAACCCATCCAACCAAATAACAAAATGGTAGTTAAAGCATAAATTCAGAAAAGATGAGAATCATATTTTTACACATATTTTTCTCCATTGTTTGTGGGAGGTTGGGCTGGAACCGTCGGCCAATAATGCATCATACATTTGTGCTATTTTGAGTATGTGAGAAATTTAGCTTTTTATTCTTGGTGTACTCGTTTCAGATATTATCTTGTTCGTCTTTTACATTAACGTCAATAGTAGTATTTCTTTTTAATCTCCTTTGGCTCTGAATGGACTGGCTTATCCTACCTCCCTTTTTTACTGTTCACTACCCACTAAAAAACAAAAAAAAATTTTGTTTCCTGTAGAAGGGAAAAAAGACATAGTACTATATTCAACTGCCAGGTAGGATAAGTTATAATAAGGAATCAACTTTTCGTGGTAATCATACTACATGCTGCACCTTAGTTAAACCAAGTACACCAATAAAATGCAAAAGAACTGGCCTCCTCATCAGAGACAGATATGGCGGACCAATGAATTGATCACCACATGTCCGTCATTAGTTAGAGAAATCTCTCTCCAAGTGAACTTCATGCACTATCATTAATTAAATATTTCTAGCCCATGCCTCTTCATATAGAAAACACAATTGTAAAGGAGATGAGGAAGCAGACTTGCAATAAAACCACCTACCTACTGCCACTAACAAAGAAGTCCCGTTGCTTCTTTGAAAATGCAACTGCTCCAACTGCTCCCATGTGACCGATACCAATACCAATGCAAGTTTTGCTCTCTGCTTCCCACAACCTAACCTATACAGAAAAAGGAAGTACATAAGGTAATCAACCATAGGAATAAAGTATAATTGACAAACTACTATAAGGTGACAATACTTTCTACTCGGGTCAAATTCAGAATCCCGACTACTTAAAATCACAGCAAGAATAAAGTCATAAATGACGAAAAATTTTGCATGCTGACAAAACAAAGGGAGGGAGGGAATGGACAACTTACGTTATTGTCTTTACTTCCAGTAACAATAAGCGTGCTTCCAGAGCTTGATACACAGGAGTCAAGAGAAAGAACTATATCGGTGTGACCAGCCAATATGTACGAACAAGACATGGAAGCAACATCATAAACCCGTATCTGTAAACATCCAAATTTTATAAATTTTACAATCAAGATGTACAAATAGTCTATCACTATCTAAGTGTAACGATAGTGATAATAGATTATTCACATCAGTAGCAAAAATCAGTAACAGAACCCAGCTATAGACACAGTATGGTCATCAAAACTTAAGTCCAAAGAGAGGATTTCTTTTTTAACGAGATACGAACTTTTCATTGATGTAATGAAAATGAACAAGAAATTATTAAGTCCAAAGAGAGAGGTTGCAGAAACAGAACAAAGAAACAACCACTAATTGCTTTCRTTTTTTTTTCTAAACCTTTCTTTCTTAACCCCATACATTCTGTAAGAGCTTCATTTGCCACTAGTATTCAGTCTATTAGTTGTCTACCGAAAACAAAAACAATATGCCTAACCAAAGTAGTCACTTGTATAGCTTTCCACAATCTCTGTGCAAGCATGTTTTAGACAACTTCAAATACACTTATCGACAAACTAATAGGGTGAAAGTCCCTTATATTTCCAGCCGCTTTCTTCTCGGAGATCAGGGATTAGGTAGCAATTTACCTGTTCAACATTGGTGGCAACTGCAAGAAATTGTTCGTCGTCACCTAAGAACTTCATATCTACAATCTCTTCATTATAACCTGTCAGCCTCTTGCTTATCATCAAACTCAACTTGTCTTTCAAGGTTTTCACTGGAGAATAAAAAAGAAACTGCTGATCAGCAGTCACACAAAGCAATCCTCGATCAGAAGGCAACAAAGCAGCAGCAGTAAAGCCCCTATTCTGGTCATCGTCCTTGAGAGAAACATCTGAGGACTTTTGCTCAAACAAGCAAACTGCACTGCAAATGTAGATTAATGTAAAAAAGAACGTTCATAATACAGAAAAAAAGAAGTGTTGAAAAAGTTTTATGACCTATCATGTGACATACAGTGCAACCCATCGCACAAATGATTGTAAAAACATATACAGACTAGGTAAAACCAAAACAACAAAGTAGGAAGTAAATGCCCAACTAACTATTCTTTCTGCTTACATTTATTATATTAAGGCATGTGATCAAGGACAATCATTTCCTACTCACCCAACCTGTACTTCTCTTATTGTCAATACAACTGTTCCTTAATATACATGATAAAACGAAATAACCAAACAAAGGGCCCATGCATGGAGGAGCAATATATGACAATTGAAACTATACCTCTCGGAACTCCATAAACGAACAACCCCACGTTCTCCAACAGTGATAAAATAAATTTCTGGGGACCCGCTAGTTTCCTCTCTTTTTTGACTGAAAGAACCAACACAGGAAGCAAACTCTGATCCAGAATGAATTACAAGTACAGCTTCAAGAACTTCGTATGTTAGTACAGTCTTCTTGCAGGTATAATTATGCAAGTTCCACAAGTTCACAACCTGAAATCATTATATTTTTCGGCTTATTACCAGAAAGTCGCTGGAGTACTACCAATATATTTAGTAAATAAGTACCATTCAGTACCCAAGAAGTAACAAAAACAATCAACAGTTGACAGCTTATTGAGAACTGGAACTGACAAGTAAAAAACCTAAGTAATAAACACAATCAACAGTTGACAGCTAATTGAGAAAGTGATCATATAGTACTGAGTTAGATAAATAATCATCTTTTTTTGGATGAAAAACATTTCACTGAAAAGATGAAAAGACAAAATGAGGGAGAACAACTCCTCAATCCAAAGGAATTATGAAAACACTTCCATTGGACTATAAGAGAAGATAAGCTATAAATGTGAAAATATGTAGAAATGGTTTTTTCATATAAGAAACTGAAATTTTTCATTATTAAAGAGAGCTTGTCACAAGAGAAGGACCCTAATCAACCAATTTACATCATGAGAGAACGGAAAAGATAAAGAATCAAAGAAGCTGTCAAAGGTAAGAAAATTACAACTCCCAAGTAATGACTCCCTTCTCCAGAGAGCAGTCAAACCTAAACACCCACAATATTTCCAACCTTCTTCTCTCTCATGCCTTCTATTTTCAGATCTACACCAGCCAGCACATCAAGATTTAAACCCCCAAACCTTCATCAGAGTACAAAAATCTAGTTACTCAGGTATTCCTAGTAACAGCCAAGTCAGTGACCAAGTTTCTAAGACAATTGGTTTACTTTGCATTTGTTGCAGTACTAGTGTTACAATTAGAATTACTCAGTGCACGTTGCAATATTAATAAGAATAATAAACGAATAAAAATTCAACCACACGTAATTAAACTTGAAAATAAGGGAATGAGGAGATGGACAAGATAAGAAACTCCAATAGCAGATCTGCACAGTAAATTGTACTTTTTGGGAAGTTAAAGAAAATTAAAAATTAAAAAAATAATAAAAAGGAAGGGGAGAGGAACAGAGAAGAAATTAAGCCTTGCCTTATCTCTTCCAGCACTTAGTAAGGTCCAACCATCTTCAGATATAGAAAATGAAGTCACAGTTGATTCATGACCAAGTGTAGCAATGCACTTCTTAGACATAAGATCCCAAACTCGAATGTTCCCATCCTCACTTCCAGAGAAAAGCTGAAATACTAGAGTCAGTAATGGCCAAGAATACAACYAAGAAGAAACTGAAAACAAGGCAATCTATCAATCATGATGTTTCATGTTAAGTTGAAGTCCAACACTTTTAAGTTTTAAGGCAATACCAGAAGCAGATACTACAGATACTATTTTTTTGGCATTCTCAAAGATAAAAGGCTCTGATGAATTTGGACACAATCAAGGAAGACATAAACCACAGAATATTATTTAAAGTTAGACTTAGAATACTTGCTAGACTGTTGAGTCCAATAATGTGGAAAAATGACAAACCAAATGAGAGGGAGAGAATTGAGGAATCTGTCACTCTGTGACTCATTTTGGACTAAGAGAGCATGGAGTAGCTTGGCTAGCAAGGGAAGCAGGGGAGTTGAAAGTCTGCAAGGCGATGGTCTGGAAGAAGAGTTTGGACTGACCTGATTGTCAAGCAACATAAAGAAAACGTACTTCAAACCACCTTTGTCATACCCTTCAGGGATCACGGCACATCATTCTATTCTACCCTTTTAACATTAAGTCTATAAATTTATGCATTGCACCTTTTCTATTGGGGTCTGTTTAGCCAAAGAACAAAGTCTTTCGTTCATTATTTTCTCAAGAAGAGATTACCTCTGGAAATGGAAGGGAGAGCTTGGAGGGTGCCAAAGCCAGCTAGCTGCTAGCTTAAACTCTATTTAAAAAACAAAAACAAAAAAAAATGAGGTAACATTCTGAAAAGGAGCCACTGAAAGAGAAAGAGGTAAAGAAGATGGGGAACGGGAAACGAGCAAGGAGAAGATCCATTACAAAGAGGAACAGAGGGAGGAGGAGGCAAGAAAGAGGGGAAGACAGAGAGGGAAGCGGAGAGAAGGAGCATCATCCAAGAGACAGGAATTTGTATTCTAAAACCGCTAATAAAACTCTTTTAATCCTTATTCCTTATCATATCAATTGAAAGTTAGCTCCTTAGTCGAGTCCTTGGATTTTGAATTCTATTCCAGAGCAAACTATCTCAAATTATTCAAAATTTCCACATCTAAAGACCTATGGGTCAGCAATGTTGGTTTTTACTTCATTGTTGTGTAGATCATTGACTTAGCAAGAAACTTGAATAATTTGGAGAAGAAAGAATGGCTTCTTTTAATGTCTAAGGCGGATTTTCTTCGTCCCAAACAATAGATAAAAAGGGTTTGGATGCGGGATATCTCTGGTTATCTGTCTTGCAATTTTTTAGTATCTTGACAGCTACTAGGTTTACTGTTGTCTCTTGTAAAACATCGACTCTCTAACCTACTTACTTTAAAGTAGCATCCTGTAACAGGGGATGATAAGCTGTGAGGTTGTTCTAACAATTTCCCTTACAATGCATCAAACCATTACCAAATAACAGAAGTGAAGATAAAAATGTTCTGATTTCAATACTTACCAATTGTTTATTAGGATCAGGATGAAATAGAATGCTAGAAACAACCCCTTTGTGACCCGTGAAATAATGAGTACAAAAGCCACCATCGACATCCCAAACAAGGACCTTCCTGTCGGCTCCTGCAGTTGCTAACAATCCCCCAGATAAATGGCAATGCATACCCATCACAGGACCATCATGCCCCTGTTAAAGTTAAAAGATAAAACAAGGAAACAAGCAACAAAAAGGTAAGCATCAGAAGTCGCTCGCTATTAAAACATTGATAAACGACCAAAGAAAAAAAAAACATCGAGGTAAAAAACGCCATATTACTTCGGTAGTTCTCTCTTCCTCAAAACAGACAATATGTTTAATTCATAAGGTAGTCAAATATTCCCCAAAGTCAGACATCAATAGTCAAAAACCGCTTTAACAATTGTAGTCCCAAAGTTATGGACTCCCCAAGTTCCTAGTTTTCCTTCTATCAATTCTAGAAAATTAAGGTCTTCCGATCGCTGATGTTTAAAAGTCACCCGGAAAAAAAAATGAAGTAACAATAACCAACTTGCATAACCCATTCATGTTCAAGCATACATGCCAAATTCGGCTCCCATTAGTTAGACCGTAGAAGAACTTAATGCACCCATTTCCCCAAAAATCAAATAAAAACACTCAAGAAATTTCAATCCCTCAGTTACCTTCCAAGACCGAACACACTTCATCGTCGAGAGGTCCCATACTCTAATCTGCCTGCTGTGACCCGCAGAGAATAGCAACTTATCATTTGGACTCAGTGCGAGAGCGGTGAATACCTCAGACTCACCACCCTCCACGGTCGACCGAATGGCTCCAGTGTCCGAATCGACAATCTTTATCGAGTCGCCACATGCACAGGCGATGAAAGAACCGTCAGCTGCTACTACAAACGCCCCACCTTCGTAGAACCGTTGAAGGAAGGGAACGCAACGGTAGTTTCTCTTGAAGGGAAGGGTCGCCATTGAAGGCACTGCAAGAAGAAAAGACAGGGTTTTTGAACAGAAGGCCAAGACGAAGCTAGGGTTTAGGACACGTTTTATACCTCACTGAATGCCATATTAAAAAGTAGTGGGGTGAAGAACCGAAATCGGTTCGATACGGTTCGAGTTTAGACCTCCCGATTGTAGTTGTTGCAAAGATGGAGGATGGCAATGTCATCTACAAAGAGATCAGTGTGAGATTTTGATTGCAATGGTTGCTTAATTTAATTTCTCCAAAGTTCTAAATGGCTGTGCTGTGGGGTCGAAAACACAATGAATAATTGTAATTATGAGTGTCCAAAAAATCCGATTATCGAAAAAAAATCGATGAATTCAATCCAACCTATATGATTTGGGTTGATAATAATTTATTTTAGATTGGATTGGATTCAAATAAATTAAAATTGTCTAGGTTAGTTGGTTCAAGATTCACCAAAAAAAATATTTTGATTGAACCCAATCAACTTGAATTTATTATTTATTTTTAAACAATTTCTTTTACTCACCCTAAAAAGTTATATTTATTTTATTTTTATTTCATCCAATAATTTTTTTGAATTATTTATTCTACCACGGTTTTTAAAAACAATTTTCTTTTAGTTTTTGGAGTATTCTTTTCTCATATAAATAAATTGGACTTACGAATTTTGATGCACTGAGACAATATATTTAAAATATTACCATTTTTTTTTTGTTTGTTATATAATACTTTAAATAGGTGACCCAAATAATCCGAATCAATCTCACCCAAATATTTCATGGTTGGATTGGCCTAGTTGGGTTTGTTATTTAATATGGACGATTTGGATTGAAGAAATTTACAAACTGAAGGTCTAAAAAGTACCTCAACCCAACCGATCATGGACACCTTTTAGAAAGCTAACCAGCAAAGCCAACAAAGTATCTCTTGGGGTTGAAAAGAAAAGAGATGGAAATAACAATCTTAAAATTTTGCCTTCAACAAACAAAAAACCAACCCGCGATTCGAGTTTAAAACGAACTTTTTCGGATCGGATTTCTTGCTTTGCCCTAAAATCAAACTGACCTAAATACACTCGGATTTCTAAAAAAACATTTTTAATACATACTACCATTTCTTAATTTTATGTAAATTATATAAATGTCATTTTTATAATAATCGAGAATATACTAAATTTTATTAATTAATTATTAGCTAAAATAGCAAGAGGTCATAAGTAATCATATTAAAGTATCTCAAGATTGTTGTCATAAGAAAACTTTTGGTTAAAAATCACATTTTGTCCCTGTACTTTAACTAAAGTAACAATTTAGTCCCTCAACTTTCAAAAGTAATAATTTAGTCCCTGAACTTTAAAATTGGTTACAGTTTAGTCATTGTCGTTAACTATTAGGTTAAATTTAACAGAACTTTGAGATTGCTGTCATTTATGGGTTGGTTTAAGATTGGTTTGGTTTAAATTTGAGTTGGTTTAAGAATTAAAAAAGAAATGGAAAATTAGACCCCTTCCCCACCATTTTCGACGCCTCTCYGCAAAATTTCAGGACTCTCACAGTCAATTTAAAATGGATTCTTTTGCTTCCCTTTTCCCCTTTCCTCTTTCAGGATTTTGCTTCTTTGACCCACCATCCTTAGCCYTTTATCGTTTTCTCATCTCTGTCAAAGAAATTGTTCATTTCCCCCATTGGGTTTTTGAGTTTTGGGGTTTTTTCCCTTGCTATTTTAGCTTTTCAGTTGAATTATACAAAKTGAGGTTCTTTCCCCAATTTCTGTATCATTTGTAGTGGTACRGTTTTACCTCTATTGATGGCCTGTTGATGTGTCTCTGGCCCTTGAAATTGGTTCAAGTTATGGAGTTCAACGATGAAGGTAGAGATGGGAAAGAAGACGGTTCCCCYAAAGTTCCAGAGCCCAAATTACCTTCAGTTATGATTTTATTTTATTTTTAAAAYAATTTTTTTTATAATTAAAATCAATGAGAGAGAGGACCTTTTCTTGGAACAGTGGCACCAGCCAGTGGAAGAGTCACCGCAATTGCTGAATCCCAAGTTACGGAGGAGGAAAATGAGCAAAAGCTCCATCTGTGGAGTCGAAGAGGAAGATGGTGAAGATGGAAGAAAAATCGAATCGGTCCTCATTACACTTTGAAAGAACTCTCGATCCTATTCAAATGTGTGCAGGCTATTTAAAAAATGCACAAAACCTACGACAATGGAACTGAATTTGCCTTTTTGTCGCTACGGATATTTATGCCAACGAAAGTATAGTCGTCGGCAAATATATCTTTGCCGATAAAATGTTTTAGGTGGCTAAAGATGTTTTTGCTGACAAAATATTATTTTCATCGGCAAAAACCTACTGTAGCGATTCTCCCCGATGAGCGAAATCTTTTTGTCGGCAAAACCTTTCCCTGGCACATTTTAGACTTGTAGCAACGATTTTTCTTAATCAGGAAAAATTAGATTCCTTTTAGTGATGTATTAATAAGCTTAGGTAAGAATCGACGTGATATATAATAAGGACACTTACAAGTTTTGGAACATGAAAGATGACTCGATAACTTTATTGAAAAGATATTACGATTGCCAGTAATAGTTAATCACTTATTCGTCACCTCAAATTAGCTATAGATTGGCCGAAAGACCTGAAATAATAGAAGTCCAAATTTCACATGCATGCTAGCATTAGAGCAATATACTCGTCACTCTAGTTAGGTAGGATATAATGTACAGTCTCATATTAGTCCAAATAAGAGGAGTCGAGACTTTAGAGTATTGACTATTGTCCTTATGTAGAGTGATTGTTTTCGATGTATGAGTAGAGTGAATAGTAATTCATAAATTAAGCAAATTATTTTCTTTGATATATTTAAATCTTCATTAAAAAAGAAAAGAAATATATGGTTGATATATTGAAATTATTATACATCATGAATTTGAGAAATGTGACAGGCACATGTGTAAGTAGAAGATTTGTTTTCTTATTTCTTTTTACATATACATATCTATCTCGAAGCTCTGACGTGTTAGACATTTATTTCCTAGCTTTTAATTTAGATATTGTTAACGACTTTAGAAGATTAGGCCTTAGGTTTTGTTTAAAACTAATATCCATCGGTTCCCAAATATTACTTCCAAAAAATAATAAAATAAAGCCCATTTACATTATAATGGGACAACAAAATGGACCTAATAATGCACAGATATTAAATAAAAATTGGGGAAATATAATTAATTTTTTTGGGCAGGTTTTGAAGTCAACATGCTTCCCCACTCTCATAATCCACCATCAATTTGTTTAGTTTCTTGTTGCTTATCCCTTGTTGATACACAATAGAGCTCTCCAAACTGCACCAATAATAATTAAAGAAAAGAAAAAGAGTTAATAGATAACCCAAATTAATATCTAGCCACATCATAAAGGACAAAATTGTAATATCCATCTTCAATTATTACAATAAAGTTATTGAATTTTCAATTTGCTTGACTATATCATTAGATTAGAGTAGTCGCAATAAACTCGTCAATTTGCTTGACTATACTCTCAACCATCAATAATTTTTAATCCATTGACTTTTTTTCAATTAAGTATTAAGAATATAATTGGTGAAACTAAAACTCTAATAACTATATCATTACTATTCTAATTATTTAAAGTAACTTTTAGTTCTATTTTTTAAAATATAATTTTATGTGAGTAGTATATAATATATTCATGTCATCATCTCCCTATTGGAGATGTTATTTTTAAAAAGAAAAGAAACTATTGGATGTTAGTCACAATAAATATACCATCAATGTTCATATTTTTACATACATAACTATAATTCAAACTTAGAACTATTTTAAAACTTAACTAAATATAATTTTCTAAACTTCAATATCAAAATCACATTGAACCTTTTTATAATTTTTTGAAATATGATCTAAATAAATAAAATATAAAGGCCAAGCTAACATTTTAAGCCTCAATAGATAACTATTTTTTTTCTATTTTTGAAAATTAAGTGGTAAAATTATTTTCTGTACTCATTTATTTTTTTATATAATTTTTGAAAACGTTTCCAAAATTTAAGTAAAAATTAGTTTATTATTTTTATACTTCACTTAAGAATTTCATAAGTATTTTTAAGAATCGTAAAAACATGTCAACGAAATTGTGATTAGACAAATATAATCTTTTAAAAATAGAAACCTAGAAACAAAATCATTAGTAGAACAAACCTGGGAGGTGAGGGAGATTCGGAGGGCGGCAATAGCATGTGGGCCAGCCTAAGAGCTTCTTTTTGAGAATTAATGATATTATTGAAGCAGAGATATCGACCGTAGGATGAGACATCTTCAAAAACGCAGATGTGCGCATCAACCATGAATTTAAGATCAACGGTCACGAACAGCCCATCTTCATACATCTCAGCCGCTCCTTTCAAATACGGGTTGTTGATCGTCAGATCGTGGCCCATCAACAGCCCTCCATTTATGGACACCATATTGACCCCTCGATCCATCGCCAGGGCCCACGCGGTCTTCTCCGCCAAGGTTTTTGATAGAGCGTGCCACAGCTGATCAAAACCCACCCCCACAGTCAGAGAAAAAGAGAGAGAGAGAGAGGGGTAAAATGGTAAAATGGGCAAACTACTTACCTTATACTTCTTACAGAGGTTGACGTCGCTCCAGTGGCGCTCGTCCACGTCGGACGACATCGTTTTGATGCCGTCTTTCCAGATGACCGCCGTAACGGAAGACGTGAAAACCACCTTCTCGATGGTTTCCGTTTGGGCACATGCTTCCAGAACATTATGAGCTGCTCTTACTTCAACTTCCGCCATTAATTCCTGCCATTTCCATTTCCATATATTGCAATTTAATTTCATAAATTAATGTAAAAAAAATCCTAAAAATGTAAAATAATCAGAATACTAAATCTTTATCCCTAAGCATTAAGCAACGTTCACAGGTTCAACATGACATTTTTATGGTGATGAAAAAATTGACAAAATAGTAAAAAGTTACGGGTAGATATTTATTAAAAATTAATAATCCACATTTAAAATCTCGAAAATAATTGAAAAGAGAAAACGAGATCAATATCTAAATAGGAAAAAAATTCAAATATTACATCTCCCATCAAGAGATCGTAAGTTCGATCTTCCGTTTCGGTATGCTATACTAAAAAAAAAGTTAGTTATTTAGAAGAAATTCATTGTAATATTTTTCTTATTCAATTATTTGATAAGTATATTTCTCCAACAGAAGATGATGAATGTATGTCTATGCAGGGTGCAGACAAGACGTTTAGAGCACATATTGGGTTTTTTTTATATATTTAAAAGAAAAAAAAACTAAAACTAAATATTTAAAAATTGAAAGACAAAAACAGAAACAATATGCAAATTTAAGGCTGTAATAGGATTTAAAATCAAAATTTTGTAATAGGATTAAAACAGTAACCAACTAATTAGGGATTCAAAACAACAAATCACAGATGAACATTATAACGATCTCACTGCAGAAAATTCATTTTCAGAGAGAGAGAGAGATACATCGTAGGTGGAATGATCCGGAGGAGGTTGAAAGGAATAGAACAAGGCGGAGCATCCTTTGAGCGCAATCATAATGCTGTGATAATCCAACGGATCCGAATGGAACACCTTCAATTTGTTCAAATTTCCCTTCAAGTTCACACTCTGCAAATCCTCTGCATCGATCGCAGAAAACATTTTCAATTACTTCCGAGAATCAAAATAATCAAAATCGAATTCAAATTGAGGAGAGAAATTAGAGAGAATGGGAGAAGACGATGGAAGGCGTGGATTTCGAGATTTTACCGCGGTTCTGGAGGGAGGCGTGGACGGTGTAGCCTCTGTGCAGCAGCGACGCCACCAGAGCGGCGCCTAGGCGGCCGGAAGCGTCCATTACGCACACAGTCTTAGCGGCGGGAGCCATGAGAGGGCTAGAGAGAGAGAGAGAGAGAGAGAGAGGAAATTTTGGTTAGAGAAAGGGGAAAAGGGGATTAGTATATGAAGGAAGGGGGGGAGAGCATTGAAAGAGGGTTGATGGTTTAGTTGGGGAGTTGGAGGTTAAGAAAGTTCATGAATTATTTTGAAATTAAATCATTTTTTATTTTTTTTTTATTTTTGCTTTTTAGAAGTCAACTTTATGAGCTATAAAAGTAATTTGACTTTTTTCTTAATTGTTAAAATTTCAACATTTGATGTTTATATATGAAGGTATGTAAGACTCTTGTAGGGTGTTTATAAAGTGCTCGATTGAATTAGTTTTTTATTTTTTAATTCTTGAAGTTTTGAACTGAGGTATTAAATACGACATTTCACGAAAAATGAGATTATGAACTAAATATTTAGTTCAATCTAAAATATTACTGATTAATTTATTAACATATGTGTTATAAATTTTGTATATATGTTGTTTTATAATATCACAAAGTTTTAATATATTATGTTTTACATGTTAACCTAAGTATAGTTCATCGAGTTAAGACACTTATGTTAGATGAAAGTTGTGAGTTCGAATCATTCGCCCACATGTTGTATTAAAAAGAATCTAACAAGAACTAAATGAATTTACAAATATATGAAACAATACCTTCACGAAAGTTTTTATAATTTTACATTTTAAAATTTTAAATTTATAATATGAAAATATTAAAAAATATAAAAATAGTTTTAAAAAATAAATATGTTAAACAATATTCACTAAATCTATTTGCATTCAGGGTAGGCTGTCTCTAAGCTATCTAAGCTAGACGACCAGTTAATTTTTGGTTTTAATAATATTTATAGAAATATTGTTTTTTTTTTTAAGGAGAAGTGGTATTTTTTTTCAAAATATTTTCAAATAGTTTAAAATTATCATTTTCATTACAAATATTCTCAAAACAACTATTTTTTTACAATTCTTTTTTAGAAATATAATATCTCTCTATCTTGATCTCTTCTATATTATTTATTAGAAACACAGATATATTATCAAGAACAATAATTAAGTATTTGTTGGTCAACACTCATCTTAGTATTAAGCACAAACGAGTTAACAAAATATGATAAACAGAACCACAAATTGCTACATTAGTTTTAAATAACGATGACATTAATATATATATTAACTACAGCCATGGGCCATATACATATATACTTTGGGGAATTGATCATTAAAAAGAAAATTGAAAAATATATAGTTGTTTTTGTTTGGATCTATCATATCCATGAATTTGGAACAACAATATTGTTGGACTCTCTCTTGTTCGTAAACCACAAAATGAACATTAAACAAAACAAACAGGATAAGCCAATTTAAAATAAAGAAAGAAAAAAGTGATGTTGTTTTGTTGACTGATGGACAAAACTTTTGTCAACTTCTTTATTTCTTTTTAGTATTTTTTTTCTTCCCTTTGACCTAATTTTCCAAGTTCGCAAATATTTGAATATGACATGTGAGTTTTGAAAATTTTAACGTTTTCAAGGGTGTGTAAAGAAAAATAATATTTGAGATTTTGATGCAAAAAATTGTTAGATGGATCTCTTAGATTTAAATTTTATTATAGTTCATAAACTTTTATGCTTATTTAATCTTAGTATCAAAACTTTCAAATATTCTATTTTGGTCTTTGTACTTTATTTATGGTAAAATAGGTGTCGATTTTTCAAAAAGATTTAAGATTTAGTAAAATGATTTCGTAAAATAATATTAAGGGATGATAGAATTTTTTGCCTTGAAACACTTGGAGTGATGTCTTTGCTAAACTTTAATAAGAGAATAAGGGTGATAAGATTGTGAAAACACCTCGATCAAATGAAAACTTAGGTTAAAATATAGTCCACAAATATATATATATATATATATATATATATATATATATATAATTTTTATCATTAATTATCTAACAAAATAATAAACTTAACTAATAGAGCAGGTATGTCTGACTAAAAGGTCGTTTGTTCGAACCTCTACTCTCGTATGTTGCTGTACTAAGAGAAAAACCTTAACTAATGAATGATATTGATTGCACAACTCATCCAAACTTGTGGTTTTATTATATAATTAAAATTTAAAAACTTCAAATACTATTTAGGTGTATGTATTTTTTTGCTTTAGTTCATTTTGGTCTCTGCACTTTCAAAGTCTTTATTTCGATCCATGTATTTTCAACTTTTGTTTATTTTGTTCTTTATACTTCAAAATGTCTGTTTTAGTCCCTATACCTTTAGAACGTTATTTAGTACCTCTTTGCAACATTTTAACACAAATTTTATACCCAATGAAAACCATTTAATACAAAACGACTACATCTCAAGAAATTTAGTAAGTGGAGTGTCGTGCTAAAACTATGATAGAAATAAATGAGATAAAAATGAAAATCAAGATATCAAAATGATCATTTTTTAAAAGAGTGAATATTTTGAGAGCCCATAGAACAAAATGAATGAATCAAAGTCGAAAATAGATGGATAAAAATAGTATTAAACCCATTAAAGATATTGGGTTAAAATTTCAGAAGTAAAAAATTTATTTGAGATTTGAAATAATGAAGGTGGAGCCAGCCGGCAAGAGGAAGGGTTTAGGACCGACAAGTAGGGTTGGGAAGTTGCTTCACTGTTTTGCTTTGACTGACAGTGGAGTTTCCTTTTGCCAGCTATATTCCACCTCCCTATTCATTGCAATTTTTTTTTCTAAATTTTCCCTAAATATTTTCTACTTTTCAAAATTTGCAAAACCATACGTCAATTATTATAAGAGTTGTTATAATCACACCTTTCTAAGTATAGTAAGTTGCAATCACTTGCGATTTGAAAACTAAAATGGGATAAATTTGATTTAGACAAATTTATTAGTTTAAGAGGGTGTGATCCATCAAATTGAAAATTTTAAGGTGTAATTGTAACACATCATCCTATAGTTTAAGTTACATATATCCAAACTTTTGATAGGTTATGTACATCCGGACTCACTTTTTTTACTATTACGTCCTAATTTTTACAGTTAATCATTTACAAAAATTTATCAACCAAATAGAAGTTACATAAATCCAACTTTTTAAGGGTGCGTTTGGTTGGTAATCAGAAAACATAAATTTGAAAACTAGGGATTCAATGAAAACTAGACTTCTATTGTTTGTTTTTCAGATATGTATTTAGTAGTAGATTTGATAATTGAATCTTAGTTTAAAAAATTGTTTAATGTACATTTAGTAATATATTTATATTTAGTTTAATCTAAAGTTATATTAATTAATTAATTAACATTTTTATGAATTTTGTATAATTATTATTTTACATGGTTATATAATTTAAAATACATTATATTTTATAAGTTTTAATTTTAACAAACATAAAACGAATTTATAATATGAAGTAATATATTTATCAAAGTTTCTAATTCTGGATCTTAAAAATTTCAAATTTTGAATCTGAAAACACTAAAAACATAAAAAGATCTTTTTCAGAATTTCTACTGTTTGGATAACATAGAATCCGAAAACAATTTAAAAAACGAATTTTCCAATCATGCCAAACACGTATCCGCTGAATCCATTTGATTCAGTGGTGAATTTTAAAACAAAAAACGAATCCAAATTTCCAACCAAACAGACCCTAAATAACTCAACATTTCAACTCCGGACTCGATAAGAGTCGTAATAATTCTCAACCGATCGTTCTCTAAAGCTAATATGTGGTTTTGAATGTGTGGGGATGGGATGTGCAGCTGGCCAAGTGGATGGCTCTCACAACCATTGTTGATTTGGTGTGAAAGCTTGCAACACAGTGTGTGTGTGTAATAAATAGAGAAGAAAAGGGCAAATGAAAAAGAAGACATGATGGGATATGTTCATGTATTCATCCAACACATTAGACTGTTACTTTCAATTAGTTCATAATTTAAATATGAGTGCGGGTTTCGATCCTACGACTTTTAAAGGAACCTAATAGCATCTATGACGTTTTTTATTAGTTCTAATTTCAAAATTGAAAAAAAAAAAATTAAATTGACAGTTTAATTGGTATATTACGTGGTAAATTATGAGTTCATAATGTTTTATTATTAGTTCTAGTTTCAAAATTGGAAAAAAAAATTAAATTGATGGTTTAATTTGTAATATTAGGGGTAAGTTGTGAGTTCATAAGTTTTATATTAAAAGGTGTTTTTTTCGGAAGAGATAAATGTGTTACAAAGAGAAAAATTAGACTTTTTTTTTTTTTTTTGAAAAATATTGTAGTTTTTATCCCACTAAAATTTTAGTTAGGGCGAAGGTGTAAATAGACATAATTTTTCAAGTATGCAAATTTCATATTTAATATTTACGTGGTTAAATTACAAGTTTAATCTTTAAACTTTTAGACATAATTCTTCAACTACGCAGGTTTCAGATTTAATATTTACATAGTTAAATTACAAGTTTAATCTTTTAACGTTTAAATAGATACGTTTGAGGGATGAGAGAAAAAGATCTTTTTGTTTCATTTGGTTGAGAGAGAGAAGAGTTTAGTAGGGAGAGAAACTTAGACTTTTATTGTAGTTTTTATTAAACTAAAATTTTAATTAAGGAAAAGGAGGTAAGACCTCATTTTTCACTTACGTTAGTATAAGGGTCTAATATTTACTTGGTTAAATTTTTTTTGTCCAAATTCGTATCTATTTAGTCATTGTATTTTAAATAGTTTTTCTAATACGTCTCTAAATTTTTAAAATTGTATATCTGATCTAAATATTTCAAAAAATATTTTATAAGTTTTGAATAAGTGCATAAACTTTCAATTTTATGTTTAATATGGTCCATAACTTTTTAGCTTTTTCTCTAGTACAAGGTATGTAAGATTCGAACTCACGATCATTTGGTGATCAAAGATAAGTGGTTTAACCAGTTAAGCTATGCTAAGATTAACAACTACAACTTCATTGGCTTAATGATTTCACGATAGAATAACTGTATTATTTAAGAATTACGTTCAGAAACTTATTAGAAACTTTAAAAGTACATAGACTAAATAGACACAACTCTAAAAATTCAATGACCAAACTAATAATTTCATCTTTTTATAATTAAAAGCTTGTAGGTGCAATTTTAACAATCCCGATAGACCAGTGGTTTGTGCCATTTACCTTTCGAATTTCTTATCATAGGAAGAAAAGAAGGGTAGAATTGCATAGCAGGTATATGTTGGTTCATATTTCCTTTATCAATGTGTCTCAATTATGACTTTTTTAATAAAAAAAAATATGATTTTTCTTTTTGAGAAGAAGTGGATGATTCAAACTTGGGTCTATAAAAATGTAAATCATATTTTGAAGTTTGACTATATTCATGCTGACTATCTTATGTATAGTACGCGTACCATAATATTATTTAATTATAAAGTAAATAGACTAACGCCTAGCTTTAGGAAAAAAAATATATAAAAAACTTTACAACTTTCATTATTAAAATATACATATTCTAATAAGGGCTTTTTTCCAGCTACTTGTTTTAAAAGTACCTATTTTACCATAAATCCAATCACTACTCTATTCTTTTATTTTAAAAGCCATAAATAAGAATTAATATTAATAAATGATATACTTATGATAACTATGTCATCAATATAGCTGCACCAAAGTCAACTTTTTGGTAATGTATTATATACCATATTTCAACCATTACCTTTCGAGTTAAATTACAAATCTGATCTTTAAATTTTGAGAATGGTGTAAATTCTTACGCCTTATAAAATTTATGATAGGATCCCTTAATTTTCAATTTTATATCTAATAGTTTACTAAACGTTAAAAAAAAAAAGTTATGAACTAAAAAACATTAAAAAGAGTTAATAAAGTCTCTAAACTTTAAATTTTGTATTTAATAGGTTCCTCAACTTTTTAAAAGTACTGTTTTTCATAAGCTAAGGATCTGCTAGATATAAAATTGGAAGTTCAAATATCTATTAAATACAAAATTAAAAGTTCAATGATCTATCGGATAATTTTTTCAAAGTTTAGAGATTTATTAAACAACTCTTTTGCAATTTAACATTATACTCTTATTTTCTCTAATAGTACAAAACTCAAATAAATGTTTCTAAAACAATAAAGTTTTATAACTAAATTGAGAATGCCTATTTTCTAACTTCCCCAATGTCTATTGTGATAATTTGAGCCTAAATTTCAAGAGCATTATGATCAGAAGATTTGATGGTGGTATCTATTTAATATTTAATATTTTAATTTTTTTAATTATATTATTGTAATTTTAAACCATTTATATTGTCCAATTTAAATGATGACACGACACGTTTATTAGATAGATATTAGTTGATATTTAGCATAACGTAACGGTCAAACAAGTAAAGTAAGTAGATGACTAAAATAAGATAGAGTCACATAAAAGAAAAAGAATTTAATTGGTTCAAGAGGATGATTTATTACACCTGTCACTTTATTTTATCCTTCCATCATTTATCTCTCACGTAGATCAATAAATTTTAACCTAATAATGATATTATGTCATCATTTAACTAACATTGTTAAATGACTACGGCACAATGAAATCAATCCATCAATTACAAATTTGGTCCATAACACTCCAGCTTGCAATGGCGGCTGCAAGTTGTAATATCATAATCATAATAATAACTAAGCGGCCCAATTATTATAGAAAAAAAAAAAAAAAAGAGGGTAATGGTTTCACTGGATCATAAAATGCACTAAAATGTAGGGTGGAGGATCGAACTCACAACCTTTAAGTTCGCTTTATAGCTCATAGAGCTCTCAACAAATCTACCACATGTTCAATTGGATGTCTACCTTCAACCGTACCTTTTTTTTGAAGCATTTGAATCTTGTACACCAAGGGGTTAAATTTTTGTTGACATGTCATCGTTTATAGGTTCGACATCAACATGAGGAGTGAATAGACATTTTTTCATAGTATCTCAAAAAAAGAAAAAAAAACTTGTAGTATGAACATAATATTAATATTAATAATTCTTTACTTAACTAAAAAGGGTGAAAAGTTTATTTGACATCGATATTTTCTGATGCATTGACATTTCCATCGAGATCCACTTGTAAAATCCTCGGTATACTTTTCCAACTTTCATTTTTATACTTTTTAAATGATGCATTTTCAATAACTTTGCTACCTCTTTTTTGGTGGTTTAATTTAGAAAATGTGATAGATATATCTAACCATCTCTCTTCTATTTGAATATTCACAACTTCTTGTGTGTTTAGATGACTTCATTTCAACAACTTGAGCATAATTGTTAAAGCATATATCTCTCTATTTGAATGGTCATCCCTACATATTGTTGTGTTTAAAGAAGATGACTTTATTTCAATGCAACTTCTTTCTGTTCTCTTATAATTGTGTTTGTTACTTTTTTTCCTTCTAAATTGGTTAATACCATTTTAATTAGTAGGGGTTGTAGTTCGTTTTAATTTAGTCGTATTTATTGATTAAATATCTTGAAATGTATTTGCGGTTATTAAATGCTAACAATTCTCTTATCTAATGTCTTTTAGATATTGGTTTGTCACATCTCTTTACCAAGTTCAAAGAAGACGTGATTTTTTTTTTGATAGCCTTGTGTCCGAGCCAACTTCCGCGCACCTCAACTAATAACGGACTAACCGCCTGATCCTGTTACATTTGGTTGACAGGATAATTCGTAGAATATTAAATCCTAAATAGGTGGCCACCATGATGAAAGAAGTATATAAAAAAATGGTTAACATTTTTTATATCTAAATATGTAAATTATAAAATATATATATATATATATATATTGTTTTTATTCATCTAAAAGAATATAATTTATAATTATTGTAAATTTACATTCTAAGCTATATTTCCTTTAAAGAATTATATCCGTAAAGTAATTATATCCATAAAGTATCTACAGATAAGAAATAATAATAAATAGCATTGAAAAGAATAATAATAAATATAAAATATCATAATTATTGTTTAAATTTAATCCTTTCCTAGATATCAAATCTCAATTTAAACGAATAAAGATATTTTTTAAAAGTTAATCATAAAAAGCATTACAATTCGTACAAGAGGATCTCTCTCTTTTTTATTTATTTATTTATTTATTTATACTTATTATTACAAGTTTCTTCTATAGAAAATTTTATCATACTTCTTATTGAACAAATAAATATCAAAACATATAGATTAATATCAATATATATCAATATGTTAAAAACTATCTTTATCCAAATTTGTACTGCTGACATACAGTTTTGGATCCGCTACTGAATAAAATTATTATGCAGCAATTTATAACATGAACATTTAAAGAGAACAAATTTGATATTAAATCAATGATTTAATTAATTTCTTCCACATCATTTTCTCTGAGAGACATCCCATGTGTTCTCAACTTTCTCTTTCTTTAATCTTAGAGAAGGAAAAACAGTCATCCTATTCCTATCTGAAGTCTAAATCACTAACCATAGAAAAAAGGTGGTCCACAAATTGGAAATAAAGAAAAGAAAAAGTAGAACAAGCCACAATAGTTATAGTTCATAACTGAAAATTTTGTTCATCTTCATGTATACACAAGCATGTCAACACTAAAACTACATGAAAGGATTACGATGGTCACCTTCAGAATGAAAAATCCTCAAGCAGTTGTTCATATTTTCTGCTTAGAAAGCTTTCGTACCTTCTCTTAAGTCCACCTCCTGAAAGTATAAAACGATGCAACTTCAGCAACGATGAAGACGAGGCAACGTCATCTTTATAAATGTTTACGAAGTAAGAGATCAGTGAGCTACCTCTAGCTTGAAAGGGTGGGATGTCCATGGACAGAGTTGACTCCACTAAAGTGACAAGATCCTTTCCTGCTTCAAGCATGAAGTTTTTTTCATTAACTTTTGAAGAAAAAAGATGGGAAGTGAACAATTTTCACACACTCCCAGCAGCAGCAGTTAACAAGTGAATAATTTCGTTGCATCACTTAACCAGTTTGTTCAGGGTGAAAAGAAAAAAGAGAGAAATTTTTCCCATACCGCTTGGACTTTCTGTTCCTTTGGCATTAACTAGAAAGGATGGGATGTGCTGCTCTTTTAACTGCACCATAGTAAAGTAGGCAGATATACTAGTAGGCAAAATTGAGCATCTAGAAATCATTGATTTATTTGAACACATGCTTTCAAGTTTTACCATGTACAGTAAAGCCTTTGCCAGTTCCAATGGGTCAATGGATGAAGGGCCTTTGTGGAATGCAGGCACAAATTTACCATCCTGATACCCAGCCAAAAAGTGATATGCAGCCTGACCAGGAGAGAGCTTTGAAGCAGAAGGAATAGTTCTGGAGCTGGTAACAGGAAACAGCAGCATTGTTTTTTAATCTTTACGCACAGATAAATTTATATAGCTTAAGTAACAAAACTAAAAAGTAAATTTTCTTTGAACAACTTTGCCTTCATACTGGCCAAAGCAAGCACTCAGCGATAATTGACATATGTCTCCAACTAAGAGGTTGTGAGTTCGATCCCCTGCCCCCACATGTTGTTAAAAAAATCATTTGCCTTCATACTGACTTGAAACGCATTCAGTATCAAAAGAAAGAGGCACACCGATAGGAATGGCCGTAAGGGTAATTAGAGATATTATTAGGGTGTTGAGGGTACCTTAGTAATTGATAGGTAAGTTGTTAGAGATAGTATTATAAATAGAGTGAGGGTGTAAGAATGAAGGTATCCAATTAGTGAGTATAGTTTTGGCTTGAGTTAGAATACTCAAGAGAAGGGAGGGTCCAAGTACCTCGAACACTTGGTAGTTATTGTCGATGCCTAAAACTCTCTTGGTAGTTATTATAGTTCTTATATCTTGTTATATTTCAATATATTTCTTGTTTGGGTTCTATCTCACACCCTTGCCTCTCTTATCAAGAAATTCTATTTTATCTCAAACTCTTTCATAAGAGATTGATCTTTATTTTGAGTACAACAATGGGGGTGGGGGTTCGAACTCATGACCTTTTGGTTAGAGATAGGTGTCTTAACCACTTGAGCTAGCTCGGTTTGGCATAAGAGAATGATCATTCTTCCAAGTTCCATCAAATAACCTCATAAAAAATGGAGTATACTTGGTGCCAAATGGTATATTTAGTAAAAAAAATATACATGCACGGTTCTCAATCATCACAAGTAAAAAATTATTGTGGTGCAGTACAATTTTCAAATGAAACGAAAGAGAAATTTTCAAATAGACTTACCCATCAGAAGTTACAAGAACAATAGCAGAAGGCAATTTAAAGAGATTTGGGACATTAGTATTCTCCATTCGAAAATATGGCATGACACCTTCGGAGGAAAGAATGACACCAGCATCTCCAGATACCAGAAAAGCAGCACAGTTCTGAATAACGTCTTCAGGTGCAAACAACAAAATAACAGAATCACCAGAAACTAGAAGCCTGAAATTTACAATCACTATGAGAAAGAATATAGCACACAAGTAAAAATTGAAAACATAAAGGCTTGATAAACAATGGGTCGTCAATTTGAGTGCATGTATATATTCTGAAATTAGGGGTTGCGGGGCGGGGAGAGAAACGGCACAAAAAGTGTACATCACCTTGCAGGAAGAGGAAGTCCTCCACGTGCAAATATCACAGGTTCAGATAAAGCAACAAGTGTTTCTTTAGTTCCATTTGTATCTGAGAAAGCCTTTCCGCATAGTATCAGCATTGAACGCTCAATATCAGCAGCGATGAATCCATTATCTCCTCCAGTTCCAAGACCAATTGTATTTCCCACCCCCGGGCTACGTGGCGAAAGAGAAATTCAATGAGTGCATGCTCTTCATACTTTCTCTCCCTCTCTTTTTTTGAACTTGATCCTTTCTCTCAAACAAACAAAGACACTGACAGTGACAGGCAACATTATAATCTAAAAGGCACAGATGTGCAAACATCATATGGATATGCCAACATGCAAATGTTAAAAAGTATAGAGAAAAAGATAAATTTAATATATTACAGAAGGAGTGAAGCAATTACAGCTTGGAAAGCACCATCAACCCAAACCCTAAATACCTACCAATATATGGCTCATTTAAATCCCTGATGTATTCTTTATCGTAGAAATTAAGTTGCCTATTAGCATGCTGTTTAATTCCAGATTTGTAATTTGGGTGCTTGATTCATACTTTATGGTATAAAAAAGTATCAACTGATTTAGTATAAAAAGTATCAACCTTATGGTATAAAAAGGATAATTTTGTAATTTATAAGTCAATTATTTGTTATTCATTAGTTAGTTTGTCATATAGTTTTGGTGTTCTTTGTTTGTTGGGTACATTCTTAACTACTATAATTTTGTAATTTTGTTATTCTTTAAGGTTTATTGTTTCTTATAAAAAAAATGATGCAACACATTCTTATCTATGAGTTAGGGACTTAGAAGATGTCAGAGAATATCAAATGCTCAGAGAAAAAATACCTAATCCGTCCTAGAATCGATCAATTTCTTGGCCTTAGATGGAATTTCACTTTCGCAATTATTCCTTTTCATTCATAAATACCAAAATAAAGAGAATTTTTGTTATTTAACTTCTTGGAGGATGAGGATATATTATTTTCTTTAATCTCCTCTTATACACATTCCCATGTTTCAATAAATTGCTTCTTATCAAAAGGGAAAGGGAAAAACAGGGCACATCCAGTAGCCATATAATAATAACTTTGTGTAAAACCGAAAGACATGTATAATAGAGGAAATACCTTATAAATTCAGCAGCATAAACTGTCAAAGAACAAGAATCACGAGAAATTGCCCGGGCTGGAGTCTCCCATATAATATTTGAAAATGCCAACACAGAAGAAGGACCATCACTTATTATACGAATTTTCACATCACATTTTGATGTTGAACCAATTGCGCCATCATGAACATAAATATTTGAGATGGACGAAATGTGACTTGTGACCTAACACAAACAAATAAAATCAAAATTGAATGAGAGGTATAAACGTTGACAGTGAGATGAAAATGAAAATTCGCCAACCATGGACTTCAGCGCAATGAGATGAAAATGAAATTAAGATTGAGAAGAATAATTTGGCATCGTTCGCTGAAAAGACTAATTAAAGAATCCAAATAACATGCAGCAGTTTAACCAATTAAAGGAAAACACCATTCTCATGTCAAGTCATAGTTGTAGACTTGTCATTTACATCCCGATGCAACACAAATGAAATAATGACACAGAGTGATTTACAAGTAAAAGTACATCTAGAAATCAAGAAAAAGAAAACTCCCTTTTGCAGTAAAAGAAACGTTCCTTAAACGCCATAAAAGGAAACTAAAAGAGAACAACCAAGCACTCACCTAACAAATTCTAAAAATAGCAGAGATTCTGACAGTCAAAAGACCACTGGAAGACAGATTTATCTTCCAATAAGCAGAACTGTCTTAAAAAAAAAGGTCGAAGGGCTCCATCTGAATCAACCCCCAGAAGAAATAACGTTCCAAAGAATTCTTGCATCCTTGTAAAAACTGGGAGATACCAAGATCATCTTTACCTTCAAAGCAAGATTTACTGGCCCTAAAACCCAAACTGAAATTAAAGAACAAAAATAACCACAGGCTCTTAATTGTATTCAACTAATGATTAGAAAGAAGATTCAACCCTCCAACCAAAATACAGAAAGAAACCCCAAAGCAGCAACAGAAGAACAAAGTTGAAAGCCGACCCTCTAAGGGCATCCTTCCTTACCATAGAGGCCCTCCTACAAAAAAATGCCTTAAATGAACAAACGGTAATTTAACAAAAATCTAAAAAGAGGAACCCAATATAAGTCATCAAGATCAAAGACAAACGGAAGAAAGTCTGGAAGTAACCTTTAACACAAGAACCCTTATAAAACCCAAAACCACTCCAGGAAACAATCCTAACCATCCTAGAAATGAATATAGAACCTTACCAACATTGAAAAGCCATTTTGAAACGCCCCCATGTTTCTAAAATCACCTCAAAGTCCATCCCTGATAAAAACCCTACCTTATTTTGACTTTCTTCTCCCTTTGAAGATTCTTTTCAATTAATTTCAGGATGTGAATTGGAATAATTGTGTAGCTATCTCCTAATTTCAAGATGATGTTATCTTAGAAATTCCAAAGGAATTATTGGTTAAAATATCTAGGATCAATACCTAGAAGCAAATATAAATCTGCATCATTCATTTAGGTAGAATATATCAAATTTCCTATTGTTTTACATTAATTGCTTCTAGAAAAAAATTCTTTTTCTACATGTACTTAGTTGGGTGAGCCAAATTTAACCTAAAAATTGTAATTATATCAAAACTGAACAAATGAGAGAAATACCCGTCAATTGAGTTGCCATATTTTTTAAGATTTTTGGCTAGGTGTAAGCATTTTGGGGCTTCGAGAGTTTTATTTATTTATTTATTTTTATTTTTATTATTATTTTTAATGTGCTGGTTCTTATGGCTGTGTAGGGATTTATTTTAGCTGGGTCTTAGTGTTTAAATGTTAGGTTTGGGTCACCTTTAGCTGTTTGATTTTGTGACTAGATTTGAGTGTTCTGTTGACATGAGCGATTAATTTATTGATTTTATGAGGGTATTAGTTTTACTACCTAAGCAAGTTCAACATTAAATTTGATTAGTTTGACTACCTAAGCAAGTTCAACATTAAATTTGATGAAGCTAAAACTTTAAGATAATACTCCTAAGTAGAATAAATAAATGGTCGTCTTATTTTCTTTTCTTTTTTATAAATAGGAATGCCGCCATAAGTAAAACTATTCTTGGTGTAACTATTCATTTTTCTTTTACCTATTTTTGGGCAGCATTTCATTCACATACCTCAATTTTCACCATGCACCCAGCCTCGAAAAGGTCTTTGGGCCTTTGGCACTTGGTGCATAACTTAAACAATCCTATCATTTCATTAACGCTATGGTCATTAGTGAACTAATCTACTAAATAAAGAAGTCTATTATCAACATATCTTGCCTAAGAACGGACAGCTGATGAGCAAGAGACACAGAGATTGCCAAAAGCTAAATGGCATGCCTGCTTTAAAAGTTTAGTGAATTGCGGCTTGGAAATCTCCGACAACCCTCGAGCATTGCCCCTAACATGAATGGGAAATCCTGATAGGAACTCTAAAAAGGGAAGAAAAGATATTACAAACAACAAAGGTAATAGAAATGCAATAAAATAATAGACCAAGAAATGAACATTTATCAGTTATGAATCTACCTGCGACAATTGCACCCTTCTGGAACAGTTCAGAAGACTTCAAATTTAGAAAAGCATTGTCCTTTACTATCACACCTTTCCCAGCTAGAGCACAATTAAGACCATAAGAGCGCCAGGACCATCCCTGTACAAAAGAAAACGAAATAGCATAAAAATTATTCCTCAAGAAATTTTATACATACCATTAATTTTTATTTATCCATTTTTATATCATAGTACATTAACTGTTTCTTTAATATCCACAGTTTCGGGCCTTGTGTCACAGGGACAATTTTGGTCTTAGGCCACGTGGGGACTGAAAGTTTCTAGAGTGAAAATCATCCCCGTGACAAGTGGTATCAGAGATAGGTTAGACAAATTCAATTGGTGTCAAGTGCTATAGTCTCAAGGTCCTAACACCCTAGCATTCTATTCTACAGGAGACTTTACTCACCCCGATACCGACTACGAAACTAGAAGCATTCTATTTTATAGCATTCTAGCTGAAAACTTGAACCGAAGACCATACCTTCAACTATTAAACAAGAAACCATTCACTATCGGCCTTCCAAAGAAGGTAGGGATCTGTAATGTTCGTTTCAGTCTACAAAATCATGCCAGTTGGAGACAATTTATCGTCTGTAAAGTGAGAGGACCAAACTTAAGGCTTAAATGGCTAAGGCAAATCTCATTATGACGATGACATTAGCAAATACAATCATCACTTGACCAGATAACAGAGCACATATTTGTCCCAAGTCCGAAAGACCAGAGCGATTATAAGAGCATCACAAGATTATTGCAAGAAACTGAACACTGATCCATGTAAACTATGTATTGATGTTTAACTTCCAGACCCAACTATTCACTTCCTTAAACAATAAAGATGTGTTAGCGGCTTCACCATACGACTTCCTTAACCCAAATTTTCAATTAGCAAAATGGAAGTCCCTAACCAATGCAAGTGTTCCAAAAATTAAAGACAGAGACTATCAAACTGTTCCTATTAACATTTGCAGATATGGGTACAGAACTCAGTCGAGAGAGAGGAAGAGACTGACAAAACGTGTAAGTCCGAAGAAAGGTTGAGAAGAATTCGGCCTGGAAATGGCGGAGCGGGCTAGTAAGTTCCCAATCATTCGCTCAATCACAGGGTTTCTCGTTGACCTAAGAATCACTTGCTCTGTAATTTTCAAGTTCGGCTAAATGAAACCTTCCCAGAAATAGGAGGGAGGGATGGTTTCAATGAATACATGTTTCAAAATTTTCAATTCTATCCTCAACATTTAAAGTTGTTTAAAAATACCATTCTTCTCAACTTTTTCATTATAAATAAAATGGAATGTGGCTTTGGAGTGACTAATGACAACGTAAACTCTACTTCATCTAATTATCTCCTTAAACTTATTAAGTTATTTTTAGTACAACGTGTGRGGTGAGAGATCGAACTCACAACGTCTAGGTTGAAGATATATGTCAATTACCGTTAAGTTATGCTAATTTTGGCAAACTTATTAAATTTTAGTTACGTCACTCTTATTTTAAAATTTTCATTTTAATCCTTAACCCTTAAAATGAAAGATGAAAATTCGATGGGACAATGAGTTACTACATAACGATTAAGTTGAAGGAGTACGGAGTTTAAACAGAAAACTTTGTGAGAAGAATATGTTCATGAGAGAAATTTTGTGAAAGAGTAGGTTCGTTCTTGGAGTAGAGGTAAAATATATAAATATATATAATATATAATACTGGTGGAGGAAGACGATTTTTGTCTTTAAAGATAAGAAATTTAATTAACAAGTAACTAGGGACTGTGGTCCCTAGGTTCTCTTGTCCTGGACTTCTCTAATAGTTTTAACTTTTGTTCAATTGATCGTGGAATGGGAGGCCCTGATTGTGTCCATCATCTGAGGTTTGCTTTCCCCTACAAAAATCTTGTTGATCTAAAATCTTATGATAGTGTGAAGAGTAACAATATTTTATACCAACTCTAAAGTTGTTTCTCCTTAAATGACGTTATTTTCTTAATGTGACGACTAAGGTTCTTTCGATTTTTTTTTACCACCTATCATCACATCATATTTTTATATCCATTTTAATAGAAAAACTAATTGAAAAGTTGTTTTGAACCATTTTAAAAGTTGAAGGTTAAGATGAGACCTTTTGAACTATGAGACGTAATTGAAGCTTAATCCAAAATTTAAGGCATAATTGAAACCTACTGCCTCTATTTTGGCAACTCATTGTCCAATTCACTGGCACACCACATTTCCATTTTATTTTATTTTTAACTTAGACATCAAAGCTTGTGCAAGAGTCACACCGGTCTAGTGTCGTAGGGACATAATTGAGACCTACCTAAAATTCAAGCATATTTTGTATAATTTAACTAAAAAATAAAAATAATTTGTGATTTGAATAACAAGCAAGATCTATTGAGTCTTTAGATTAGATATTTCAATAAAAGACCTCAATTCAACAAATAAGGGTTGTTTGGTAACGTTATGTTTCTTGTTCATGTGTTTCTTATTTTTAATAAAAAAATAATAATAATTACATGACCACAAGACCCCAGAAACTACAGATTAAAAAAATGATAAAACAAGATTTTTATTGATGTTAAAACAAATTGGAAACAAAAACAAGAAATTTGGGTTCGTTTAACTTTCTAATTTCTACGGATATCCTGCCAAATTTTGGGAGGACGGAAAATAGGTAAAATATTCAATATAGTTTTATTAATTCAAATACTCAATTTTGGTACAAGCCTATCCCCAGTTTATAATTAGTAATAGAAAATCTAAATCAAATAATATAATTCCTAATAAATTTAAATAATATTTAATAATATTTTCTACCGAATAAAATTCAAATCATAAAGGATACCTAATACAAACTGAAAATCAAATACTAATACAATTCTAATCATATAATTTTTTATTTCCAATTTACTACAAAATATAAATATAAATGTTGTTGGATGATTATTGACTTCATGGATGCAATTCTATTTTTCGAAACCTTTTTAATAAATCAAATGTTTGCAAAACATATTAACATGAAACTATATTTTATTAAGGAAGAGTATTTAGGCACGACCTAAAATACAGTCCAGTAAGGCGATTACCTAGGCAGCCTAATTTTAAAAGTCTCTTTTTTAGAGCATATAACATATATACACACATTAATGTTACTATCTATTTATTTTAATTTTCCAGCCCAAAATTGCCCCTTCCTCACGAAATTAATTACAGCACCGCCAATCCTAAATAGTAGAATTTCTTTTTCATTTGAACATGTATTCCTTTATTTAAATATTAAAAAAAATCTTATTTTGCAAGTGATGACTCACTAAAAATTGTGATTGGAAAGACGTTCGAAATATATGGATTGCACCACTGATACATTCCTTAGCGTGGACTTTGCATCTTAGGTGGAGGGCGAAGAAGGCCGCCTTCAGAGAGGGCCCGAGCCTGAGATACCACTTTAGAAGAACTAGAATTCTAACATTGTGCCAGGACCTACGGGCCAAGGGACAATCTCAGATAGACAGTTTCTATGGAGCGTAGGCCTCCCAAAAGATAACGGAGGCGTGCAAAAGTTTCCTCGAGTGCAAAGTGAAATTTTTGGAATGTCAGAGGTGTATGCTTCCACTTCTATGACAGAACGATTCGGTCATTTTTTTCTCTTTTCATTTTTATGTATAATAATATTCAAGGATTAATGAGCATTGATTAAAGAATTGTTCAAATTGTCTTTGAATAGACCAATTCGTAACCTTTGGATGTTATTAAGCATGCATATTAAAATAGTTTGTTGAGATGGCTGTTTAGTTGATTGATTGTTGAGGTGTGCTGTTAAATTTCTTTAATCACAGTTTGTACCGTAATTAACAGTAGAAGACGATTAGAGACAAGACTTAGTAAACATGTCTGCAAATTGTGTGAAGTAGTTGGAATGAATTGAAGAGCTCTATACTCAACTTCCGTACGTAGAGTTTCTATAGATTAAATACGCTTAAACTGAGAGAGTTTACTCACAGTTTCTTTTCTTAAGGTAGAAAACTTATTGATCCGACATTCCGCTGCGATCTAAATCAAGTAGGAGATCCAAACAAGAATGTTAACTTCAAAATGTTTGTATATCTCAAATTTGGTATCAATCATTTAAGACGTGTATCTCAACAATTACAAATAAAAACACCATTAGTACAAACAAATAAAAATAAGGAATATGTTCACTTTCTTGCTCAAACCGATATTTCTAGATTATCACCCATGCCATATGTGAACCTTAAAAAAATGGTTAATTCTTCATCTTAAAATTCATTAATTAACACCAAATTTTATTGTGATTTTTTTTATATAAAAGTTAATGTCCATTGTGTAATTAAATTTATTCTCTCATTATTTCGTATATACAAATATTGTACTTTCTATTATTGAAACTTGATTCTCTAATGTTTACAGTTTTGGTGTGACAGTGTTAGAGGTGGCAAGAACAAGACTTCTTAATGATAACGAAATTGTGGTTGTTGAATGAGTATGTGACTTGTGAAAAAAGGAGAACTTAATTGAGGCTGTTGATTCAAGGATCAGATGAAAAAGTTTGAAAGAATGAGAATGAAAAGGATTTTTACGATAAAATTGTAAGACATCAATTTTGAAAGACAAGACTAACATCTTGGTAATAAATAAGAACTTGCTAAGGAGAAGTGATACTATTTTTTAAAATAGACACAAAAATAGTTTTTTTTAGTACAACATGTAGGAGTAGGATTCAAATTTATGACCTTTAGACACAAAAATAGTTGACTGAGAGAAAAATGATTGAACAAGACGATTCTTTTTATGTGGCTGGTCTTGTTCTTTACTTTTACCTTTTTTGTTTTTTCTTTGATATTATTTTTGTCTTAGAGTACGATGCATATGAGATTATGAATTTATAATGCGTGGTAATAAATAAAACTTTAAACTTATGACTAAAAAAAATTATTTAATATTTTAATGTAGAGATATATGTCAATTACCGTTAAGCTATGTTCGCTTTGACATCAGATTAATAATATTTAATATAGAGTATGAAGTGAATATATTATATTATTACAAAGGACTGCAAATAAAACGTGTAATATAAATAATAAAGTACACGTACTAGAATTGTAGATTAATTAAACCTTCTACTTTGCAAATTAAATAAATGAATAAAGTTTAAACATCAATAATGGCTCAAATACTTTAATTTTTTTCCTTCCATCTTCCTTGGCTTCCGAGAAATTTCAAAGAGAAACAAATATAAAATTCTTCCCTTCGGAGCGAAGAGCAGAGAAATTTCTTACAAACTACAAAGGCCACCGATAACTGGGAGAATCCATTAACGGGTCGACATGTGGGTTACAATTCTTGGTGGACTCATCGTTTATGGCATCTTCAGGCTCTTCTTCTCCGGCGAAGACGATATTATGGAGGTCGAGACCTCCGATTTCAATGCTATTTTCGCCGTCGCTAGTAGGTAATTCATACTTCATTTCAGTGATTCACTGTCTGGTTTCTGAGACAATCCAGTAGTAAGCGTTAGGGAAAATTATCTCAGAAAAGCAGTCTGGTCCTTGTGATTTGGCTGGTAAAACTGCATCGAAAATGTTATGGAACTCAGAATTTGAGTTTTCCTTATTTTTTGTACTCTTCTCATCCACAAACTGTAGGGTTCTGATGGTTTGCCCTTTTTCTGTAGGTTTGAGAAGCTCTACAGTGGAAAGGCTTACATCGGGCTTCGGATTCCTGATGCCGACACCGGTTCCCGGCAGAATATTGATCTCGTAGTTGTTAACGAAGAGTATGAATTCTGCTTTTGAATTAGTGTTTTTAGTTAGAGAACATGTGGGTTGGCTGTGGAACTGGAAGTAATATGGTGAAAATCTTGTGGACTTGCTTGCTATTTTAAGAATTATTAAGAGAGAGAGAGTCTGTCGAAAAACGTTTTGGGTATTTATCCTTGCATATAACTGTAGTGTAGCAAGTTGGCGATGGAGCTAGAGGAAACTCTATTCGGGTTGGAAGTAGATTCCACCTAGAAAAAGCTAGAGTAGTCCAAGGAGCAATGAAAAATCATCAGTAGGGTTAGAGAGATTAACTCCAACTAGCTTGTGCAGAAACTGAATTCATTAATCAGCTTCCCAATGGTTGAAAGGTCTTCTAAAGTTGAGAGTCTAGTCATTTTTTTCCCATGAATCGATATCTATCAATGCATTGTTGTTGTTGCTAGTCACGTGAACAATATTTGGATGGTAGAGATAAGGACAAACCATCAAGCCAAGAATTTTTCCAAAACTTGAATAATTACTGTAGAACATTATTCTGTATAGACTGAGTGATTTGATGATTAGTAACTAAAGTGTTCAATTGATACTCTTACAAGCCATTGTCCAAATGATATACTTGATAATCCCTGTTCAGCCAGTTTCATATACAATAATAATCCTGAACTAAGTGTAAATTAACATATAGGATAACTAACTAATTGACTCCTATAACTAAGATATATACATTGATAAACAATAATAAACATGTTGTAAATGCTCTTGTTCAACTTTCTAAAGTTTTACATTAGTTAATTCACTTACAGGGAGGTATTGGTGATATCTGTCAAGAACTTAAAAGGATTTGTCTCCATCAATTCGGATGGTTCCTGGGTTTGTGACGACGGACACAAGACAAAGACTCTTCCTGATCCTGTAAGAGACGGTTAAATTCTTTATTGCTTCAGTTCCATAAACTTTCTTCTGAATATTAATTTTTTTAGGTATGGAGATAATTTGAAAATAATGTTAAATGTCATAATTGCCACTTAATGTTAATATATCAATATCATAATGGTTGGCATGGTTAAGCTGTAATGCCCATCATTCTGGTAACTGAAATTGTGCCAATTAATCATGTTCATACCGGGAAAGTTTGGCACTAGTGTTGCTGATGAGGTATCAACATTTTGGTATGTTTTCAATTTTTCTCGTTCATTAAGGACCCTAATATATGTACAGGTTGATTTACCAATTGGTTAATTGATTGAAGAACCAATAGATTTGAAATCATTCTCTTCCATCTTTATTTGCTTTTATTGGTGTTGATCTGAACAAATTCCAGCGCACAGAGTATTAGGTGGCAGCCTGGCAGGAAATATAATTTAACAAGTTTTGTGTGATTAAGATATTTGTTACAGTTCTTGTTTCTGATACTAGGCTGTGTACTATGGATTTTGGATAGGCATGTTTATTATATTACAGAATTTTATCTCATGTGAGTTATCAAAATATATTTGGCTTTCCATCTTCATCTTCAATAAATGTTATATACTGTTTTGCTACTTTCAGGTTGAAGAGACCAAACAATTGATACCTGTTCTTGAGTCTTACCTTGAACAAAGAGGAGTGGGTCTTCCAGCGGGGTATTTGTCATGCAAAGTTGTACTTCCAAATCCAAAATTCCGGTAATGAGTTGGAACTTATTCATGGTAATATGGTATGATGATTGAGAAATTTTATTTTCTTACAATAAACTTGAATTTTTGTTCTCTTTTTCCCTCTGATAATTGAAGTTTTAGTTCAGAAATTGGCTCTGAATCACTTAGCTGATGTTGTCTTTAACTCTCACTGTTAAGTGGTCCAGAAATTTAACCAGATGGAACCTGATCTTTACAAATGTCTGAATCAAAACCTGATTTATATAAATGCCTGAATCAACATTTTGTTAAATATGAGTTTGAATAAATTTCTATCAAATTTTGAATTGAACAGAATTCCAGACTATTTAAAGAGAAGGAAAGGGTTTGGGATCAAGTCTTTGAGTTAGCATAATTTTATTGTTCTAACTGGTGCTCTCTCTCAAGTTCTTTTTGTAACTGCTCCCTTAATGTAAATAAGTGTAATTGGGCTGCTTTTTTGAAACTCCTAAAAGGATCTACACCTCTGTTTATAACTTTTCACATCAGTGGAAATTGTTTGGTTTGTTTTTTTTTTCTCCTTTTGCCAAAAGATTAGAAGCAAGAGTAGATGAAATTTGTGTAGTGACATCAATAGTTTATAAAATTCAATCAATTGGTTCTATGAAAAGTGTTTTTCAATTATAATATGCTTTGACATAGCTGAAGTTGTAAATCTGCTCAACTAGTTGCTATTATAATTATTATAATTAATAGTCTATATATTTTGACTTGGCTGAATTTTATTTTTCTTATAAGAAACGAAGAACAACCTAAGGGCAAGAGGATGAGGATACCCCCTCCCAACAGAACTAGTGAAGAGTAGCCTTCCAATAATCATGGCTAGGCTGAAATTTTAAATCTGACTAATTTTGTTATTGCATGCTTTGACATAGCTGAAGTTCTAAATCTGTTCAACTAATTTCATTCTCCAATCATCTGATCCGATCACGATAAATGTATGGTTTTTATAAATTTAATGCATGATAGATACTGCCAATTTTTGTATGGACTTATTGTATGGTTATATCATTAAACATTAAGGAAATAATCATTATTTAATTGTAAGTGATGGCAGAGTTTTCAAGTTGTGAGAAATTCCTCACAGTTGTCTTTTCCCATTGCAGCACAATTGACTCGGGCATATTTCCTTCTGAGGTTATTACCTATGACCAGTGGATGCAGCTGAAACCGGAACACAAAGGTTCCTTTTCTGGGTGGATGAAAGGTGCATTTCGTGGAAAGAAAGAGTTGCAGGAAGAACCTCTGAATCAGAAGCTTAAAGCTATCCTTAGCACCGCACCAATGTGGGATAAGTGAGTTTAACATCCATGCAATGTCCGCCCCCCAACACCACCACCACCACCAAAAGGGGGGGGGGGGCGCCAAATAATCCATGAATAGTGATATATTATATAGTATATATATATTCTTTTTTCATCTAAAGAACATGCTTATTGTCATTACCAACATGACGAGGACTGCGTATTGGTATAGGACTATGGAGGATTACAGAATTCAAGTGCTTTTGCTTTTTCTTCATTGTTCCCAACAAATTTATCACTTCATGTGGAGTTGGTTATCTAAAATATACGATAGAAAGGAGAAATAGTACTTTTTGCGTGAATTCTTATTTTTCCTTTTCTGCAGATTGGAGCTCAAAGGGAAATATGTATTAGGAGACTTTCTGGAATTCAAGGGTAAGGACGAAGATGTGGAGGATTTGAGAGAGATCAAACGATCAAAAGTTAGTCAGATGACTATTCAGAAGACTAGCATGCTTGGATTTGGTAATCTTCAGTATATTTACTACTTGATAAGAAACTCTACTTTTGCTTTATCACTTTTATTTTATGAGATGCAGTAGTCAATAAATCAGAATTTTCAAAAGATTTACTATTAGATTGATCGGCTCATAAATTTTCTTTCGCCTTTCCCTTCTCTATAACATTGTACATGTCTGTCTCATCCCAAATTATTGAGTTAATCATCCATGGAAACCGTTCCATTGCTTCTATGCTCTCTTCTTCTCATTCCCAGTTGTCCATAAAGTTTAATTCCTGAATGAATCTTGATGAAGCTCAACACATGTTTATCCCTTCATATTATTTTGATGCCTCTCCCTATATTCTAGAAGTCTGAAAAGAAGAAAAAACAGAAAGGAAAAGTTAATTATGATTCTTTATAGTCTCTATCCTTTAGTTAATGTTGGCACGACGTGTCTAACATTAAAGTTTGTTTAGGATGACATGAAAAATGGAATCATGGATGACCAAAGTGGGTGAATAACTAGATAAGATATTGTAGCGTGTATCATCTTTTTCAAACAACGCATTGAATCATTTTTACAAAAAAAATGTCACTCTATTTTGTCCAGCTGTCTATTTTTTTTACATGATCTTTCACTTCGTGCTAAATCGCCAACATTTGTTCAATAGACATATCATCATGCTATCTAGTTAACAGTATTACTACAAGCTATCATCCTGATATGTTGCCACTAGCTAGCATCCATGATACTTTATTCTACAAAATGGTCAAGCTATTGCACACCTTAATTTACTTATTTCCGTATGATACCAATTGCATGCTGCAGCTCCTACAAGGCTTCAAGTACTGTATGCTTCCCGCGATTATCGAAGTGGGGGCTCAACATCAGATTGGAAGGAAGTGAATGTAAGATCAAGCACAGAGATTTTATTTCAACCTCAGAATTCCACAAAAACTCGTAAGTTCAAACTCTCTTCAGTTATCTCCTTAACACTCAGTGCATAGATAGATGGGCATGCAGTATCAGGTCATCTCGGCATGCAGTATCAGGTCATCTGCTTATTATATCTATGTATCTCCACAATGGGTTTCTGCTCTACTGAAGTTGGGTATCACCAATAGTTTCAAGGATAGCTTATGCTTCTAAGTTCTAAGTTATGTTATGAAGTGTTAGAAGAGAAGAAAATAAATAAAGGTGATTTATTGGTTAGAGATTTAATTATTTCAGCCAGTTGTCTGACATGCTTGAGAAGTGGATTTTTGAAGGATCTCTACTTTAAAAATGGGTAATAGTCAAGAGTTATCTAGTAATAATTTGATATTTTTAGTTGCACTTTTTTAATTGTTCTGTCCATGGTATTAAATATCGATGACATTTTCATCCCATTACAAAAAAAGTCAACATAATACGAAAAGTATCAACAAAATATCAATAATATATATATATATATATATATATAATATTAATATTAATTATTTTTAACTTATTTAGAAATAAAGTTGTTCATTTATGACATAAATTGAAAACTAATCTATAGTTAAAGCGCACGTCATAGAATAGATTGATTCTGTAGGTGTCAAAGTGCTTAAAAGAAATGATTTGGGGCAGATGAAGACGAGGAATAAAGTTTATAATAATGGAAAAAGAAAAGTTATTTTGATCAATCAATTATTTGATTTACTCATATTAGAATTTTTATTAATTTAATTATAAAATATTGACTTATCAGTGTTTGGATTAACTTTTTTATTTGTTATTATTATTATTTTTTATAACAGTTTGGATTAACTTTGTAAGTGATTTTTTACGACTAAACTTTTTTTCTTTATAAATTTAGAATGTTTAGTAATAAATAAAAATATATTTGTAATAATCAAAATTGGTTTATGACTTTCTCAAAGAATTCATTTAAAGTTGATTATTCAAAAAGTGATTATTCTTATATTTTCTTGTATTTTTCTTTGTTGAGTTGTAACAATAAACATTTAATTCAGCTTATACTTATTTTTTATTTATTTATTTTAGTACGGGAGGGAATTCGAACTTACAACCTCATGATTGGAGGTAAATGTCAATCACCGTTGAACTTCGCTTTGACTCAATTCAGTTTTCAGTTTTCTTTTTTTTTTTTCCTTCAAAACTAGTTTTGAAAATTATTAGATAAATTATAAATTATAAATTTGGTCTGCGAAGTTTGAATTTGTTTTTATTGTTTGGATTTAGTTTCATTTTGGTCCTTATACATTTTCAAAAGTTTCAATTTGGTTCATATAGTTTAGTCAAATTTTACATTGTATGTATATTTTTTTTGCCATCATCATTTTGATATATATTTTTTTCTCCATATTGTCTGTATTAGTGGAGTATATTAAGATTTTGGGCTGACTAAAAAAATAAAAGAAAATAGGCAGCTTTTTCAAGGGGTAAAACACATTGTAATATTTAACTAAATTATAAGAACCAAATTAAGCTTATGTCTAAATTGTAAGGACCGAATTAAAACTTTTAAAGTCATAATATTGAACTGAAGCTAAGGTTAGACCATAAAAACTAAATTGAAAATTGTAAGATCAGAGGGACCAAATAAGAACTTTGTCCAAATTACAGGACCAAATCTATAATTTAACTAAAATTATTCTCTCAGATTTTCTTTTAATATTAAAAAACCTTCTTTCGTTTTAAAACTAGAAAATTATTTTAAGACCCCAGTCTAAATAGCCCCATTTTTTAATAAATTCCTTTTAAAATGGAGCGCAAAATTAGCCCTGTAATTTACAATCATGTATTCAATATAAATTTAAAAAAAACCAAATTTATTTTTTTTAAAGCTTTATTACAAAATATATATATATATATATATATATATATATATATATTTTATGTTAGCTTTATTACAATACTTTATTTCAATTAAATGGTACTGCGATGATTCTACCCATTTAGCCTCTGAAATTGTAAAAAGTTACATTTACCTTTGTGATTTTTTTTTTGGGTTTTAATTTTGGTTCTAACGAGCATTTACCTTTATTATTTAGGGTTAAGACGAACATTTAGACTAACAAATGGTGATTTGACACAACGTGACATAAGAGAATAGGTATATTGATAAAATAAGAGCAAAGAGTGAGAAACATTTTAAAAAAGGGAACGTTTTGGCCCATTCAACCTTATTTTATCTTGTTGAGTTACTTTCACAAGCTATCAATTACCCTATTGTGTCAAATAACCACTCGTTTGGGCCGGTGAATAAGCTACACCAACATTTAAGTAGTAGTGATATGCTAACGAGTAATGACATGATTCCTTAGAATCCAAATCAAAAGTTGAGTGATGTAATTGGAACATTTTTAAATTAAAAAATTATAGACACTAATTATCAAAGTTTTAAAATACTAAAATTACAATTTAACCCTCTTTTCAATAAAAACTAAAATCTACCCAAATAAATGAAATAAGTTAATCTAACATCAGAGCACATCACACCTTCCTCTTGTCAAATATGAAGTGTTTGGACCTAAGCTTAGAAGCATCGAAGATGAGGAGGAGTTGGTCTAAAGCTTCTCTACCTCTGGAGCGCGAGCCCAACTTGAGCTTGACTCTAGAATATAGATGGCGTCGATAGACGATTTCTCGATCTCCTGCAGGAAATTTACTAACTGTCAAGTATGAGCACTGAAATCGTAGAACAGTGCTTCTCAAAACTCTCAAATAAAAGGTAGAGTCTATTCCTCACAAAGGTACACAATTTCTAGTAAGCTCAATTCAACACCAGCTTTAAGCTTCGAAATATACATAGTCAAATAGCTCATTTGGTCTAAGACTTTATCACTTCGATTTGCACACTAACGTATAGTCTCGTGCCATCTAAACTTTCCGATATCCTATCCAATAGGATTATTGTCTTTTATTAAAACAACAAATTTTCTTACTTAAAAAGAAAGAAAAAACAGAACAGAGAATTATGTTCATTATTTGTTGGAAAAAGCAATGTCGGAGATTGAAAGTTGGGAGTTTGGGGACGACGAATGAGCGTTTAAAGAGAGATTCCTTGAGCTTGAAGCCTCCCTTTTTTTTGCTCTCTCTCAATATTCAATTATCTTTTTTGACTATCCATTTTTTTAATAAAAAAATAACTTATTCCTCTGAATTTATTTTATTCAACTTTCACTTTCAATAATTCTCACCACCCACAAAACAAACAAACAAACAAAAAAAAAAAGAAAAAAAAGAAATTTCCATTGTTAGTTGGTGGGTCTAATATCATAATTGGTTTCCATGTTTCAATAGATCTGATTTTTTTTCATACATAGAAAAATGGAGAATATTTGGTTGGATGCAAATACTGGTGAATTTCTACTTTACTTTTTTATGTAATTTATTTTTATTGGTGTATTTATAGATTTAAATATTTGTTAATTTATGTCGGTTAGAACATACCATCGACCAAAAGGTCGAATTTTTAAATTTTTACTTCATATGTTATTGAACTAAAAGATATACATATATATCTATTTATTAGACAAGCAAATAAGAGACAAATGTAAGTCAGTGTTTATGTTAAAATAATTTTTGTATGCAAATCAAACTTAGAAAATAAAACAAAATTTTTAAAGATTCAAAGATGAAAATTAAACAGGACGCACATTGAAATTTTTTTAATACAACATATGGGGATGAGATTCGAACACACGATACATGTTTAAACTAGTTGAGTTAAATTCACCGGACAAACATTGAATTATATTTATATTATAATTTATATATTATAATTAATATGTAAATTCCACCATATAGTTCAACTGCATAGACATTAATGTCTGAGAGTTATTAGATTTGAGTACTCTCCCCTTATTTGTGATGTAAATATTTTCTTATTAAAGAAAGAAAAAGCTAAATCAACCTCCCAGTTTGAGCTAAGGGTTTTTTTTTTCTTTTAAATAAAAATAAAAATATTGAATAATAAGAAAAAAATAAAGATAAACACTTTGAATGCAACAGCTCTACTTTTAACAGGCCACCAGACAAAATTTGTCTGTCATTATTTCAAGCAACCAAATTAGGTAAGATTTCCAAACCCAGAGCTTCTCTATTTTGACAACTAAACAAACAGTCATCAGGAAAAACCTTTCTAAATGCACTGGCAGAGGCACCCACTTTTTTCATGTCTTTTCTTCTTTCTGCTGAATTGCTTACACCTTTCAGTGATTATCAGAGAAGAATTTGAATCCTTCAAAATCCCACATTTCTTCATCGTTCATCACATTCTTGCTTCCATTTTACTTTAAAGACTATGAAAAAACACCATACATTCAGATGACCAGAGCACCTATTGGCATGATAATGGCTTCTCAATAATGTAATTCCATCAAACAAGTGAAAGCAAACAGTTTGACGTCACAAACAATCAATTTACAAAGCAGTTTCTCATTTGCAGCAGCTAACAAAAGAATCTATAATGGATGGAAGATGATGATACAACTTCAAGTAACCACTCCTTTTCATAAATTCTAGATCAGTAGTGAAGGGAACCATAAAACAATGAACAAAAGAAATATCTCAATAGCATACAAGAAACTGCCCAGCAGTGGAAGAAGGAGGAAGTCCCACTTACAAATCTCTTCATCCTTTTTCCTTTTCCCATCTTTTAAACCTATTCAGAAAATCAGAACAAAACAATATAAGCAAACGAATTCAGGTGAAAATTACTATGCATATACTTGCCACCTAGCTTGAAGAAAATCAAGCCATAGTACTATATCACTGTTTCTGGTTGGTGGTGTTCTTCTTCTTGAGAAGGTATCCGAACTTCTTAAGCAATGGCTTCTTCTTCTTCTGTTGCTGCTGCTTTGACGGTGAGTTTCCACCACCATCTGGATTTTCTGAACTTACCCCATTTATCTGATCGAAACTCTCTCCGCCCTCTGCCTTTGAGTCCCCTTCATCATTGATGGATTCGTGCTCCGGTTCTCCCTCTTGTGAGAACTCTTTCTTTTCAATCTTGCAGCTCTCCCACATTTTATATTCAACTTTAACTGAATCATCTTCCTTCTCTTTTTTCTCTTCTTCTTTGGGTTTACCGTTTCCATTCTGAAGTGTCGTTGCTGAGTCCATTTTTTCATCCTTCTCAACCGAGGCATCGTTCTCTTCCCATGGAAATTCTATTTTGCATTCTTCATGTTGAATGGGTGTTGAGAGCTCCACTTTAGACTTCTCTTCCTGTCGTCGACCATTCTCTTCAGAGAACTCGACCACTTTTGGAAGCAAATCGTAGTCCTTCTCGCTGTCCGTTGGTTCACCATTCTCAACTGTTTGCTTTCTGGTGGAAGCTTCCTCAAGTAACTTGGATAACTCCTCAACCTTCTTAAGAGAAGCAGCTTCCCTTGTTCGAAGCTCCGCATTTTCTTGATGAATGCTCTGAATCTCATTCTCTCTGTCTAACAAACTTTCCTTCAGTTTCATGCTTTCGGATTTTGCCGCTCCAAGAGCTTCCTGCAAATAAATCACCTCAGCTTCAACTTCCTTTAGGCTATCCTTTAGCTGAGCTTCTTCCTCCCTCATCTTACAAGCATCTTCCTCAGTTTGTTTAAGCAAATTTACAAGCCTATCTATCTCTTTTTCCAAGGAAGAGTTTTCTCCTTCTGATTTCTTCACAGCATCCACCAGGTGAAGCTCCTTCTCTTCCCACTCAACTTTGGAGTTCTCGTATTCATGCTTTGATTCCTCAATTGTACTCGATAGAATGTCAATTTCACGGTTAGAATTTTCAAGCATGCTTTCATACTTCTCATTTGTAGCTTTCAATACCAACTTTAGATTTTCTATCTGGGACTCATAATTTTCTTGCTCAGCTTGACTAGACAACAGTTTCTCCTTGGTTTCCCTGGCCTCTGCAGAGATCTCGTGCAATGCTGACGCCAAGCTTTCCATTGCCTTTTTGCTCTTCTCTTCCTCATCCTTGGAAGTTTCTAGCTCATTTAAGAGTTGGTTTTTCTCTTCTAATAGGCTTTGTACACTGGAAGCTGCAAGTTTTTCATTATTCAAAGCTTGAGTTTTCTCTTCCTTGACAGTTTCCAATTGTGACCTCAGTGACACAACCAACTTTTCCATTTCAGATGCTTCTTCCTTAATCAGATGAAGATGGTGTTCTGACTCTTTTAGTTCCTCTTTCTGTCTTTTAACAGTCATTTCCAACAAACCTACCTTCTCTTTTAGAGCAGCAATTTCAAGCTCTGCATTGTGCAATAGATCGTTATTCTGCTCCAGTTGTTTCATCACTGATTCCAAAGATTCCGATGCCGATCGTTCCAGCTTATCTGCATTCTCCAACCGTGTTTCTAGCTCCTCGGCTCTGTTTTTCCATGCTTCTACTAAACCATGTGCACATGTCTCAGCCATCTTTGCAGCTTCTAGATCGATATTAAGCTGTTCAATGGAAGCATCTTTCTCCGTGATCGTCTCCTCGTAGCATGCTTCAGCCATCTTTGCAGCTTTTAGTTCGTTATTGAGCCGCTCAATCGAAGCCTCTTTCTCCTTCACCTTCTCTGCATAAGATTTTGCCTTTTCAAGCTCCAAATTCAGAGAGTCGATCTCTGACTTAAGCTTCATTATCAATTGCCCACTCTCATTTGCCTGTGTTTCAAGCTTCGAGTCTAGCAGTGTTTTCAATCTGGTTAGCTCAGCTGAGAGAATCTCCACCTTCTCTACGTGAATCTCAGCAATCTTTGTTGCATCATCAGCATGGCTCAGCGCCTGGTTCTTCGCATCGGTAGTCATTGCCAACTCCATCTTCACTCTTTGAAGCTCTTGACTGGTAGAGAGAAGAGCAGCGACATCTAATGCATGTTGGCTCCTCACATCTTCTATCTCTTTCTGCCATTCCTCTTCTTTCTTATGGGCTTCTTCAATTCCTGCTTGCTCCATCTCAACAGCTCTAAACTTCTCAATCTCAGAACTCTCTTCGGCTCGCTTTTGTGCCACCAAAGCCTCCCTGAGTTTCTCATTTGCCTCCTCTGCCACTCTCTGTGCTTCTTTTAATTCATTGCTTAGTTTTTCTCTCTCTTTTTCGACCAAAACTACTTGTTCCTTAGCTTTCTTCAGATCCTCCTGAGCAAGATTTAATTGAGCCTGTATCTCCGAACCTTTCGTACCTCGTGGCTGCGATTTCTGAAAAGGAAAACAGAAAGAGATCAACATTGTCTAGCAATTTGCATTCACAACTTTACTTGAATCCTCAAAAAGAAAGGAAAACACATTGAATGATGAAGAACATCCAACAACATTAGCAATTGTGATCAAAGAACTGTAGAGTACTGAGTACATCAGCTAAAACTCACATCAGGCGGGGTAGCGACTTTTGGCAGTTGACGATCAACCGCGGGCTTCGATGTTGCAGGTCGAGGGGACCGGTCAATCGAGAGACGAGACTTTTGCAAAGGAGAATGAGAATCAGACTCTGATTTAGCAATCCCTCTATTCAGTTTGCTCACCCTGGGAGTTGCAGGTGAAGTCTTGTTGGGAGTTTCAGGTGCAGAAGATCTGTTAAAACATTCAAAATGCAGTAATCAAACTGTAAAGAAATGGAGCAGAAACCAAATAATCAAGACAAAACCATCTCAAATTCCCAAAGAACATCCACAGAAAGTCGAATTCCGGCAACATCTTTGAAAATTATCAAGAACAATTCCAATCAGAAATCAAGTAGAAACGACAGTTCCAACAAGAAAAAGCAGCACAAACACCAACTTTGTAAAAAGAAAAAAGGCCTAAAATTACTTCCAAGCAGATCTAACCGACAGAGGATGAGATCTCGAGGAAACCCTCATCAAACCAACTGCCGAATGTTGATACAAAGAAACCGAGAAACCGACCATGGTGCAACATAGAGTCAAAAACAGAGAACCCAAAGCACAGAAAAAACATTTATCGGTCCAAACCCCAAAAAGAGAAAAAAAAACCCAGGGAACCAACGAACCCTAGGAAGCACCATGGCCAGAAGGATCCAAGGAAATTGGTGGAATTAAAAACTATACCCAGAAGAAGTGATCGATCACTCAACAGTAGCAAAACAGAACCCATATCAGATCGCCGCAGAAGACTTACTTAGATTTGGAGGCCATGGCGGCGGTGGAAGATGAAGTGACGAAAGTGTTCTGTAGCAAATTTGGTGAGCAGAAAACCGAGTTGGAAGCTGCTAAAATGGCGACATTTCCAGAATTTCAGAGGAGGGGTCAAAACAAATTGTTCATAGAAGTTTCTCCAGGCCCTGTTTCCCTTTTTGTCAAAGAGGGAAAACCCAGAAGGAAGAAGAAGAAGAAGAAGCTAAAGAAGAAGAAGAAGAAGAATGGAGCAAATTGCAAAAGATGGGTTCATAAAAGAAAGAAAACTGAATAATTTGGGTTGGTTTTGCTGTCCCTCAAATTGCCAAACTCACACAGGATACAATACAACTCAACAATGAAGTTTGGCCCTCTCTCTCTCTCTCTCTCTCTCTCTCTCTCTCTCTAAAGTTGAGGCCTTTCTCTCTCTAAAAAAGTACCAAAATGACCCTCATGGTCTCTTCACCAGCTAAAGCTTAAAGCTACAACAATGGCTGCTTTTTTCAGAGCCCATATGACCAATGGAAGACCAAAGGTCTCAGCCTCAGCCATGGCATTTTCAATTCCATCTCTCTCCCTTTTTCTTCTCTCTTGGTAAAACTGTAATTATGCAAGAAAATAGTGAGCTTTTTTACTTTTGGAAACTGTAAAAAGAAGGGGAAAAAAAACAAGGTTGCTTTTGGCCCTTTTTTTTTTTTTTTTTGGGTTCTGATTAAAGCAAGGATTAGATTTTGATGAAAGGATTTGCCTTTTCTAGTTGATGTTAATGTTCTTAATGAAGGGTAAAAAATGGCATTCAAAAGAAATCCAATTCTCTCATATAATAATAATAATAATAATAATAAGGAATTCTATCCTATTGTTCTTTATTGCTCCCCTTTTCAAAAAAACATGTTTTTGCACAAGTGTAATTATTGAGCTTCAAGAAGTTAGTTTCCTATTTATTAGATTATTTCCCTTTATTATTCAAGTTTTCCCACTTGAGATCTAACTCTTGATTGAGTTTTAAATAATAATTAGGCTATTTATAAGCTATTTCACCAAAAAAAAAAACAGAGAGAGAGATATAAACCATTTTTAGAAACAAAAGGTTAGTGAGAGTATGTTTGGTTAATTAAATTTTTTAAGAATATCCCTTTCACTTGAATAGTTTAGTTTGTTTTTTATATGGTTTATTTTTTTTAAGAAATAAATAAAATCTCTTTCAATTTCAAACCCTTGTGGATGATTATTTTTAAGTGTTGGAACTTTTATAAGACATCTAAATAGAATTATGAAAATAACAAAAAAAAAATCCAATGGATGATCATTTTTGCAATTGAATCGAGAAAACTCTCTTCTAATAGTTCTTTTAAGTAAAAAAATTTCATCTCTCTTTTGACAAAATAAATTAAAAATATATTACACACCCAATGGGACTCGAACCCACAATCACCTGATTAGAAGTCAGATGCCTTATCCATTAGGCCATGGGCGCTGCTTGTGTGGAAAAGTTATACCAACATTATTTTTCAGAATTATTTCTAAATTTAAATGAATTAAGGTGGGAAGTTAACTTTTTTTTTTTTTTTGAGTTTGGTGCAGCTCACTGGTCAACTCTTTTTACTATTTATTATTTTTTATAAAAAATATCATTTTTAACCGATCAACTGATTTTTTTTTATCTTGCATTTATATTTTAAACTTAATTTATATTAAAACGTATCACAAATTAAAGTGATTATATATATAAAGAGAATACTTATTATTTTACAGAAATCTAATCAAGACAATTATAGAAAATGATAATATATTTTTTTCTCTATCTTTCCTACTTAAAAGAACAAAATAAAAAAAATACCATTCTTCAAACTCATGATACATAAGACTTTTTGTACAAATTATTCACTTTTGTTTGAAATTTAATGATTTGGAAACTCAAGTAATCTTACGAATTCAAATGGGGCATTTTTAAAATAATAATTTAGTTTACTTTTGAAGTCTAAGATCAGAATGATTTATTGTGAAAGTTAATGAACATTCAAAGCTAACTAATAGGTAGTTTTTTTCTTTTTTTTTTTTCTAATTAAGTGTATAAATTGGTCAACTGCCAAGCTGTTATGTAATAATAAAAAATATTGTTAAATTTCATTTTAGTTTCAATATTCAATTTTGTTATCCTCTTCGTTTGTATTTATTTTCTAAAAAGGATTTTTCACATAGTCATTTCTTTTGTACAGTACTTCATTTTTTTTAGGCAATTACATAAAAGATTATAAAACAAATATAATATAGTATAAATTTTAAAATTTTACAAAATAGCATGGCTCAAATGCAATGTAAAACACATGGTGAAAAAAGTCAAACTTATATTACATTAGAAAAGACCGAAAAGTTGTGATATTTTTAAAATTCAGGATGCCACTTCTCATATTTTATTTCTCTAGCAAATTTACAATGTAATAAGAAAAAAAAAATAAAGTAATAAAGAAACTATCTTTAACTCAACCATGAAATATCTGAATTAGGGTCGATGAAGTTAATTTGATCAGATTTTTTTGATTAATTGTAACATAGTTAAGTAGATAAGACACTTAATCAATACTTTTCTTTAAAGTGGAAGGTTTAATACCGACTTCTAACACCATATTTGTTGAACTAAAAAAAATTGAGAATTAAAAAAGAGATTAAATTACAAGTTAGTCCTTTTTTAGAGTTCTGTTTAATAGATTTCAGAACTTAAAAAAAATATCTAATAAATTTTTTAACATTTCAATGTTGTGTCAATAAGTCCTTGAACATTAAAAAAAAACAAGTTTATGTCAAATTGGTCCATAAACTACTAGACATTTTTCAAAAGTCAAGGAATTTTAGATCATTGGCCTATTTGATATAAAATTGAAAATTTAGAGATTAATTAAACATTTTTTTAAGTTCAAAGTTCCGTCAGACCTAATATAAAAATTTATATATCTATTAACTTAATACTCCAAAGTTTGAACAAATTGTCACTTTTGCCGGAAAAAAAAAATTTAAACTAAAACAACTATTGAAAATTTCTGGTCAAAGTGAGCATAGCTCAACGGTAATTGGCGTGTGCGATTGTGAGTTCGAATCCTCCCCTTGTATTAAAAAAAAATTGAAAATTTCTGTATTGTTGAAATATAATTAATTTAATATAGAAATTGACCAAAATTAGTTACTTCTAACAAATAATCCACAAAGTGCAATTTGTCTTAACTTAAGCTCCTTGACAGAAAAAAAAAAGAAAAAAAAAACTTTTTTTGTTTCTGTTTGAGACAAATTGTATTTTCTGCCGGATACCCTTTCCTTTTCAATCTTTACACATCGTGCCCCTTTATTTAAGAATAATTATGTGGGCGCATGTCCACGTGTTTGATTGTGATTGGACGTATCTTAAAACTTTTCTAAATGAATAGATCACAATTTTCTTTTTCTTTTCCATCAACAGATTATTAATTTCAATTAATAAAATTGAGAAAATAAATTTAATTGAAACTTTAAAATTAAAGTGTAGTTGAAGGGGAAGTTCATGAAATATAAGTTTATTTAATCCAAAATGAAATTAAGAATGGGATCTGTTTATTCTTTATTGATCGTATTATTGTAATTTTATTTGATATTGATTTTGATTTTGAAAATTAAATTTGTTCAGTGACTACTTTCTTTTAATTAAAACTCTCACTTTATTAAACTATTTTTTAAATCTAATTAGCCAAATTAAAAATATATAGTTTTTCGGTAGTCTTTTAAATTTAGCAAGAACTTTAAAGGAATTTCTAAAAAATATTACAAGATGAACACAACAATTTTTTTTTTTTTTGAAAAGTGCTGAAAGCAATTGTTATTATTTAATTGGAGAAATGATCAACTATAAATATTTTCTCACTATATATCAAATGAGACTATTTTTTAAGGTATTGGCTCTTTTAATTGATTTGAATATTTTAGGGCACTCTGGGTAAAATTTTCTTTTTTATTTTCTATTTTTTTTCTCATTTTCTCTTCTTTAATAAGAAAAAAAAACGAAATTGCATTTGATAATGAACTATTTCTTATTTCTTATTTATTCTTTTTCAAAAAAGAAACAAAAAAAATAGTTAGTAACCCTTTTTTGTTTCTCGTTCTATAAACTTTTAAATTTGTTTAAAAAAGTAAAATTTTTATATGAAGATTAATTTTCAAAATTAAATATTTAAATTTTTATGTTATATTTTTTATGCATTTTATAAGTAAAAAATGATAAAATAATGCATGCTTTTATATATTTTTTTGAAAAAAAAAGAAATATGGAATAAGATATGAGAAATTTTATTTTGATGAGAAATGAGAAATGAGAAATAAAACGAGAATATTACCAAACATGCATTTAATGTTGACATTTTTTTACTCACTTTGTTTTGTACTAAAAAGATTGTTTTTAGTACAACAAGTGGGTGAGTGATTAGAACACATGACCTTTGCCAATTACGGGTGAACTTAACCTCGTATTGGATTTTGTTGCTAGATTTTCCTTGGGATATATATATATATATATATATAGTTTTTTTTTTTTTTGGAGTTTTGGTATCTTTTATGGCTTTATTTTCCAGCATTTGTTGGCTGAACTTTAATTTATTTGATTTATTAAGTTGGTACATAGACAATTTCCAAAACTTCTAACCAACACTCACTCCAATCAAGCATCTAATTAATAATAATAAAAATAATAAAAATATAAGTAACTAAATACACAATTTCAACAAGACATGCCTCAATAAACAAAAAGAGGGAAACGAGAATTATAGGATTGAAAAATGAATATATTATTAAAAATAGAAATTGAGATTGCTACAAATCACCAAATATTTGAAAAGGGAAAAGATTTTAATGGATAAATAAAATAAAAAAAAGGAAGAAGAGAATTAGAATCTAAGATTAGGAAAGGGAAAGTAATGGTAAAAGGGAATATATGTTGAATAATGGAAGAAGACAACAGAAAAGGGAGTTTTTTTTTTTTTTTTCCTAATTAAAAATTTAGATAATGGATGGGTAGGAAGGTGAGTGGGAAGTAGTAACAAACAAAAAACTTGGTGTTTCTTATAGAGTTGGCAAATTGATTGGAATATTCACAATTGGGTTTCTACAATAAACTTTATCATTCAAATGTTGCAATCAAACTTAATCATAACTATATGGTAGTTGCATCTCTACCATATTCTTTTTTTTTTATTATTATTATTCAATCAATTTAATAACCCATTTTACAAATTCAGCTTTTTGAATCAGACAAATTAGGTTATTAAAAAAATTAGATAAAAAGCCCAACTTTCAAATCCATTGATTGAGTTGGTCCACGTATTGTGATAAAAGAAGAGACGAGTTATATTTGAGTCGGAGAAGTTTATAAGTCGAACGATTGAGTTGAGTTTTTTAAAAGTATTGCAAACTCAGACCAATTCACCTCT